AGGTTCGCTGTCATACCCAAGCCACTGGGAAACGACGCCGACACGCACCGCGCAAATGCCTCGTCAAACATAACGGACAACAAGCCCCCATGCACGAATCCCGGGTGCCCGCACAATTGTTTCCCGATGTGAAACACAGAGATCACACGCCCCGCCCACCGGCCGCTGTCCTTCAGCTTCTCAGTCGCCGTCCACATGTACGGGGGCACGGTGATCTTCTCCGGGCCGGCCAGTGAGCCCCCGACGAAATGGGTGGGCCGTAGAGAGGGGTTCATGGAGAGGTGAGGGCGGGACTCTTTGTAGCTGGGGTCCCGGCGGAGGGACTGCACTAGGGGCAGACGTGAGATGGAAGTTTCGACTTGGGGTTCGAGGGCTGGTGGTGTTGTGGTGCGGAATGAGGGGACGTCTTCAATGGGCGTGGCGTTTGTTGAGGCATGATGGTCTTGGGCTGTTGCTGAGGCGGCGATGCGTACTGTGCGGATTGGTGTTGTTTGAGGGGTTGTCGTTGCGAGAAGCTTTAGTCTGTGGGTGTAATGTAGGGTTCTGGTTAAGATCGTCATTGTTGCTTTTTGTGGTTGTGGTTTTGTTCTTTTTAGTGAAGTGGTATCAGGAGGTAGTATTCGTATGCACAATGATATCAGGGCTTTTTATAAAGCTGTAGATCTATAGAAACTTAATTTTTGTTAGTGTTGGACGGTGTCAAACTTCATCTATGCTAGCTAGGGTTTAGATCGACGTACCTATGATGTTAAGAGCTATCCAAGTGAACCTTGATAAAATCAGGAATGAGACAATGATTCTTCATTACGACAGAACCCGGATAAAGATAAAAAATTCGAAGAAAAAAACCGGAGAAAAAGAAATACTAACTCCGTAGTGGAGTATGTCTACGCTAGAGGCCCCACGTGGAAGTACCGTTATTCTCGCAACTAGGAGTACTCCGTATCGCGAAGTCAATCCTGCATTATCGCCTTATCTTGCTGCTCTTGATGACCTAGATCTTCAGGGTCTTCAGGTGCGTGGCTTGTGATCCATCGATGGTTCTCTTGGTTCATACAATCTACTACAAAGGCTATATCAAGCTTATTTCTTCAACATCGGCAGTTCCGGATGGGGAAATCCCTCATTTGCCACAGATAGTGTCCAGTGAGAATAAGGGGATACTTTTGTAACAATCATCCTAAGATTTCTAAGTATTCGCCATTGCCTTGATGATTCCAAGACAGTTCTTGCTCTCGAAAACTTTGACATCTCCAAATAAGGTTAGTCGGCATGCCGAGATTTCATTGATCGGACTGGAGTGGGTCCCTTCGGAGTCATCCCGAGAGCTCCCCGACCCCGATGGGGAGGGATGGAGTATACACTGACAATACATAATAGTTGTAGAGCCATCGTGTCGTAGTAGTGGTTAAAATTATATGACCTATGGGAAGATTACTTGGGAGCCAATTCTGATTTTTAACGCTTGAAATTTCAACTTGAATGGATGCAATCATCCGATTCCGATCTCGCCGAATCTGAGTACTTGGCGTCAGTGCTTTGTCTGTTACTCAATACGGTAGTTGGTCAATTAGATACTTGATAGATACGGAATTGGGGCTCCGCTTTATGTACGCGCTTGTGTATTGGAACAGCTGTTGCCAAATCCGGTCACTGGATGTGGGATTCGCATCCTGTCGTTATGGTCATGAAGACGTAGGCTGTTGCTCTTTTTAGCTCTCTAGCTTTGGACTTTAGTCCGAAGTATAAGTTTTTAGTCTAAAATTAAGCTTGTTTTAATCTAGTCAGTGATGTGATGTGAATTCAACTCAAACTCTGTTAATATTCATAATAATCTTGTTGATTAAACTCGCTCAGCATAATCTACATGGAGTATCATCATCTCACAAGCCTATTTCAATTACACTATACCAATCTTATGAGCAGTCATTGCCACCGATGCGCTAGACATCTCATCCAGAGCACCAGGTCACCAAAGCCCTTCGACAAAGTAGTATGAGAGATCTCCCATGCCGTTCTCTTCACCTGCCACTTGACCATTCCCAAGGCAACGGAAGCGATTGGCAGAGTTGTACTGAATGTTAAAATTTTCCGCGCCGATGCTGTCAAGACACTTCTTGAAATGACTGGTTGTGCCTGCGTAAGGAGCGGTGACCTGCCCCGAAGTCTTACCGTTCTTGTACCAGCTCCGGCAGTTATCGGCCCAGGCCGTCCGCTTAAAGTATTCCTGCGCCCAGACATTATAGTCATCAATAGCCTCCTTCTTGACCTCCATCGACCTATGAAAGTTAATAAAAAAAAATTGAGTTAACCTTAGCAGTCAAGGGTGAGCTTACTTGATGTCATGAGTGGCCATGTGCTGGGCCCACCTCATGATGTAGTCGCATACGAAAGAGATTCCAGCTAGAAGTGAGCCATTCGAAACTGTGAAGTTTGGCCCACCAATAATGAAGTAATTGGGCATTCCATCCACTTGCACAGAGAAGAATGCCTCTGGGTTGCGCTTCCACCGCTCGTCCAAGGTAGCGTTGTCCCGCCCTGACATTTTCCAACGTGGAACGAAGGATGTGTCAAAACCAGTCGCGCAGACAATCAGATCAAACTCTTCTTCCTTCCCATCAACTGTCTTTATCCCCTTCTGTGTAATACACTCAATCGCTTCCCAGCACATGTGTGTATTCGGGTTCTCGAAGGATTCCAGATACCCATCACAGGGTGTTAACCGGCGACAACCCGGGCTGAAATCCGGCTTCATCTTCAGAGCAATGGATGGGTCATGACTATTTTTCAGTCTTTCCTGCATCTGCTGCGTGGCGATCTGGGTGGCGAGCTTATTGAAAGTGTGGCCTTTCATCATACCATAGGCAAACTGATTAACACTGGAGTAGGGGCATTAGTGCCGGCCTGCGGATACTCGTTGAGATGCTCCTCTTACCAGTTTTCAAGTTCTTTGCGCATCTTGAAAAAGGCCACCGGGTCTTCTCTGAATTGTTTCTTTTCCTCCTCAGTGTATGCAAAGTTTCTTCCATCCCTCGTTAAGTGGCCACTGAAGTTGGAAGCGATCCATGTTGGGTTGCGGACATAGTTAACCATCTTGGACACCTGGGACTGCATCGCTGTGACACACTGAATACCCGACGAGCCGTTTCCAATGACTGCTACGCGCTTGTTCTTCCATTCGTATGATTCGTCCCTGAAATCAGTATTAGTTCACTCTTCAAGTCTCCAGCAGGTCAGGAAGGAAAATACCAGGCCGCAGTGTGGACTAGTTTACCGCCGAATTCATTCATTCCTGGAATGTTGGGCAACTTCCATTTGCTTTTGCATGTGGTTAGCAAAAGCCGCCAAATCTAAAGGTCAACTCCTTTCTTTACCTTAATGGGCCTGATGCGCTAACAAATATTTCGGCTTCGTCCTCCTTAATCACACCGTTTTGCTCGACCTTCACCTTCCATTTGCCAGCTGCTTCGTCCCATATTGCCTCTACCACTTTGGAATTCAGGTCAATGTTGTCATACAGATTCCATTTGCGGGCTGTCCTCTGTATATACTCTTTAATTTCGGGACCTGGGGCATAAAAACGCGAGTAGTTGGGGTTTGGTTCGAATAGGAAAGTATAAGCATCTGATTGTTATTCGCTCACGGTTAGCAAAAATTCTTGCTTGGTGCTGAAGTTGATCCCAAGGGTGATCTCACGGGCTGGAACATCACTAGAATAACCCAATTGGTAGTGATGAGTGACTCTATTACTCGACGAAACCTCAATGACTGGTTCTTACCAAGCAACACCTGGGTATCTGTTCTCAAACCAGGTTCCACCCACATCTGCATTCTTCTCATAGATCACAAAATTAACCACATCCTCCAGTTTGAGTCCATGTTTGATTTTGTGGGCGAGGGTCAACCCGCCGAAGCCGGCTCCTGCGCAGATAATTTTGATCTTCCTGGGAGTAAAAGCGACGTCTTCCTTAACTGAAACCCAGTTCGGAGGAGTCTGGCCCTGCGCGACAAGGCCGGCCGATGTGACTGGGTGTCCGTTTGGTGTGTCCTCGGGGCGTCTCATGGTTACATACAATGTGTGTTGGGCAGTGTGTATGTGGCAGGGAGGACCTGCTCCACGGAGTTCCTAAGTGCTATATAATCCATTGGCGCGTTCTAATAGCTGCAATTGCTAGCGCTGAACACTACCCCCTGTAGAGTAATTTCCGTCACATCGTGCCATCGCTGCCATCTCCTGTAGATCTCGGGTGGCAGGCGGCGCAACCGAAGTCTCACCCCGATTAATAAATACCAATAAATTTACGACAACATGGACCTCGACCCCCACCAAACCGCCGACTCTGTTGAAGTCCGTTCGTGGCTAAGTGGCGCGTGCCCCGCGCCGTCGCGGCACTATCTCCAAACCTAATGTATGGCCTCGCACGGGGTAGTTCTGGCATTGGATGACCCACCCTAGATGTGGAGATCACTACGTACTCCGTCGTGCACGATGCAGGGGCTATTTTGGCCCTCTTACGGTTCACCAAGCACGATCCCCGACGTATAACCATTCACAACGCATAGTTGTGCGCGAAGCATCTCTCAGTGGCGAGATTGCGATCAACATGTTATATCGCTCACCACTAGTGCTATGGCTTCAAGACACTAGCAGCAAGCTAGCCTCTGGACTATTGCAACCTCATAAATCTCATACGCAGGGTAGACAGGAAGTCAATCCACCGGAATGCGGCCTTATGCAACCATCAGCCATCCTCCGTGCCAGGGCTCGTCGTCGGAGTCCGGACGAACAGGGTTCGTTCGGCCTGATTACTGTACATTAGCAGCCCTAAAGCCCAACAAGCGAATGGAATCTTACCCTTGCATAACACGATACAACAAAGTTTTTGCTACCTACATAGACTGGAATTTAGCGTTTTTAAGCATATATATAACCTCTCATGCTATTTCTCTCCTTCCCTGTCCCTTGGCTGAACTGCCGACTCTGATGCATCTCTCTGCCCATGTCTGCGTCCGGAGACTTTGGGCCAGCGCCCCCGGGCGTTGACCTCTCGGAGAATCAAAATGGCTCTATGCTGGGAGCGGTCATTACCCTGATTATACTCGGGACGCTGTCCGTAATACTGCGGATATACGCTCGGACTGAGTTCAAAAAGTTCCAGTTTTCTATTGACGATTATCTGAGCTTTGCTGCCTTGGTAAGTAGCCCGTCTAGGTCCAAGCCAGGTATATGCGAGTCATAGCTCATTCTCCCCACCATGATTTAGTTATTTGCCTACTCGCTCGGTATCTGTGTGATCATTAGTGAGTTCTCTCCCACCACCCCATTTATCCCTTCCTCGCCTATGTAGCAACAACTGACTGTGGACAGGCGTCAAATACAAAAACGGACACCATGTTCAAGCCCTTACCAAACAGGAATTCACAGTCATTTGGAAACTTCTCTACGCCCACGTGATGTTATACGCCTTCTGCGTGACCTGCACCAAAACGTCCATCATTTTGTTCTATAAACGCATCTTCAACCTTCGCTACTCTCTTTACTTTGCCATGTTCTTTATCCTGAGCTATTTCATAGTCATCATCGTCACAATCAACGTGGCATGCGATCCGATCCCATACTTTTGGGAGCAATATACCGATCCCGATACCGCAGTCGGCAGCTGCATCGACATCCCCAAATTCTTCTTCGGAAACGGTATCGCAGCAGTCCTGATCGACATCATGATTCTCATAATTCCGATCCCGATTACCTGGAAACTACAAATGCCCAAAACCCAGCGATTGGCCGTGATCGGCATTCTCTTACTAGGTAGCTTGTGAGTTATCATTCTCTCTCTCTCCCCCCTTGATACCCTAAAAAAAAAAAAGACCAGCCCCAAGCACAAAAAGAAATAAGGGATCGGGCATCGCTAACTGATCTAAAGTGTCTGCATCGCAGGTATTGTCCGACTCGTCTTCCTAAACCGAAACACACACTCGGACGATGCGACCTGGTCCGTGGCGCCCGTCTTCGTGTGGTCGTGCGTCGAGCCCTCGATCGGAATCGTCTGTGCATGTCTCCCTACATTATCTCCGCTTTTCCGCCGTTGGTGGTCCAACATCGTCACTGGAAAATCGGCCAGTGCAAGCGCGAAACAAACTCCCTCAGGGTACAATCTGAGTAGTCGGAAATCCCGACTAACGGATCTGAGTATGACGTGGACCCACGGGGACGAGGTCGAGCTAGTGGATACCATCATCGAGCGCAAATCGATGTCTATGCAAAGGAGAGGGAGCGAGGGGGGAAATTCGTCACGACATTCGGGGATTCGAGTGAGAGAGGAAGTGACGATCAGTTACACAGCGGTTTGATTGGGTGGTGTGCTATAGGTTTTTTTTTTTTTTTTTTTTTTTTACAATTCATGTATATATGACAAATTTTTCTAATCGATGAACCTTAACGATCAATAGTTCATGTTCGTCAGCGACACTAGTCATGATGTAGAGTTTTTTTTTTTCAGCGGACTTCTTTTCCGACTTGTAAGTTGTATGTATTTATTCCATTGGATGGTCACCGTTCTCCAATGTCTATCAAACCGGCAAGATCAACCTCAACTTGTTCTTGGAAGAGAAAAGATCCCCCAAACGATGGCCTGACGTGCTCCTCTTAGCGCTTCAAGAATTTCTCTTGGCAGGTCCAACTGGAGTCCATTAACGAAGTGGATCGACGTTAGCATTCCCTGAAACGGGGGCTCCCCATGTGGATACAGGCTAAAGTAGTGGTTGGGCTGGTGACAACACAACAGACGTTCCATGATTCATGAAAGCGCAATAGTAAGGAATTTGTATGTTCATTCGGTTAAATTGAGGGGTGGATTTATTGATAATTGGTCACTTTTCTAGTAGTCGAACACGAGAGTTCAATCAATTGTTTTGGTCTGAGTCGCTTCCAGTGTCCAGAATAACCGGTGGTCAGAAGAAGTGCTTTGGCCCCCACGGGGATATCAGATCCACTACTCCGTACACTCTGCGTTGAACTTCTTCCGAGCCCTCCGAGTCTAACCTTTTGCCTGAAAAAATTTTTCAATGCAGCTGGAAAAGTTGGAACATGGTTGGGAATTTCATGATAAGAAGATAGGGGGTGAAAATCTCAACTGCCGAGGTTAGGGCTAACTAACTTAACATACGATCTTATCAGGGTTTCAACTTTCATATCGGGAATCGGAATCACCAATTCCATCGTGTGAATTTCACAGTATTTATTCTAGAGAAACTACAGGCTCTGGGGAAATAAAACGTGGGCCATGCGAGTTACTATTATTATTGAATGTGGCTTGCAGCATTATTCGGGGACTATCTTTTGATTTTATTTAAACTTAGGTTAGGATGTTCCTGACGATCAACTACCCATTGCGGTCCCTCGAATATGACACCCGTCATGGCTGGTTCCATAGTAGAAGCATCGGCTAAGCTTAAGATCCTTTCTTGAGTTACATAATTTAAATCTATCTGGGCGTCGATGTCCAGACTCTAAAGGGGGTCAAAAGTGTTAAATTGTGGATCCATGAAGTCAGGACTATTTGCCACGCGGGGCTGATGAGCATTACATGCATGTTCTTATCCCGAGTATTCCTATTTTGTCCTTTTTCTTTTCTCGCTCTATACCACAGTATGAGGTCATATTGTTCAGGGAGTGTTCTGCAGTGGATACTCGCGTGGCGAAGATAGGGATCCCTGCTGGCGATCTTCTTTGAGTTCTGCAGTCTCCTATCTGGTAGAAGGGTTTCGTTATAACTTATTATGCAGGGTGAACCAAACATAATCCCCAAAACTGGAGTGTCATAATATTTATGTAATTCTCTCAGCTAACTATTCTGTGGCTACAGAGCATAGTCACTTGACCAGGTATTCTGCTAATGTGTTTTCCTTTCGCCTTTCTTATCTAGTTGTATGCACACTCTCTACTATTTATTCATAGTCAACATCTGCGCCGAGGCCAGCTGAGGCAACTAGTCCCGGCTCTAGTAGAACAGGTTGATAAGATGGATCTTTCTCCCAAGGGTGAGTTATTGTTCAGGCTTGTGCAAATGATGGCTGAGTTGTCTTATCCCAAGAGTTGGAGATACCCTAAGGGACTCGTGCTTTTACTATGAAAAAGAAATGAATCATGGAGGGACCTGCGAGTTCTACGTAATGGTTTCACTGGTTAAACTGATATCATCGCCTTTCCGTTCGTCTATAGGAGTGTATATACAGATGTAGTGCAACAGAAGTGAACTGCTATGTAATATTTATCATTAAGTATAAATTATTTTTATACTGATTTGAAAGTGAATTGACATTCGTTGAATCAAGGGGTTACTGTGAGGTCTTTTGATGTTAGAGAGCTTCCGACACAGTTTTGTATGTAGCTGTAGCCGTAGAAGTAGATTAAAAGTTAGCTTGCAATTAATAACATCATAATTCAACCTAATAACTTTGATTCTCTTTTTCTTTTTCTTTTTCTTTTTTTCTATTTCTAGTTTATGCTTCTTGTCCGTTAGCCAATATGCTGAATATCTCGACATATTGTATGTACACAGAATCGGCATAGTATTTATAAGTAGCCCTACATAGAAGCTATGCCCGGGTTATATATAATCAGTTCAGTCGTTAGAGTATTACAGTACTAACTGATTTGATGATATTGTCAATCCTTACATGTAGAACAGGAATTCATACCTCTTTGCTCAAAAGCACATGCCTACATTTAGTTGTTTCATGGACGTGGGCATGGCCATGGGCATAAACAAGCCCACCAAGAATAACAACTTCCGCAGAGAAATTTCCTGAAACCACACCAGCATCCAAAACACATAAAAAAAAAAAAAAAAAGACCTTGACTAGCCGCCCATGATTCGAAATAACAGTTGGCTTGATTGGATAGGTGATTGAAAGATAGAGAATTGCGATACGGGTGGCAATTAGTAGGCTCTCCGATAGGTGACAATTCTATTAAATATACTATTACTTATTCACAAATTATATAGACTAGTTTGATAAATAATCCAACACGAATCTTAGTAAGACAGCATTCTAGCTAGGGTTAAACTAGTCAAATTCTTGCTCTAAGATTCTACTCATATAGAATCACATTGCCCAATAACACTGGGCAACCCCATAAAATGCCCCAGAAGTAATAAGGAACCAATATCAAGTCATGAAATATGAGGAATATACTCGGCCCACTGTAACGTCTCGTAGGCCTCTCTTGGAAGAAACGCAAGGTTAACAAAGCATTCCACAACCAAAAATAAGCGACCAAGGATATAAAAAGAGTGAAAAACGTGGGAACGACGAATCGCTTCCAGGCCGTGTAGCTTGCTTCATGACACGACAGAAAGACACTAAATATAACAGACAAGCATGATCCGCTACAGGTTATTACCAGGCTGCACATATGCCAGAGTGTTTTCTCTGCAGCCGAGTGAAAGGGAGCGTACCATGCGAGAAGATGCAGAGATCCATAGATGATTCCCGAAAAGCCGAAGGACAGCCAAGCCCAAACCCAAACCGGATGCCAGGTCTGATGATAATACTGCGAGCCTAGGGCGCCGGAAATAGGTTGTCTGCCTTTTACCAGCCAGCGTAGCGTCCCGCCCCAGTTTTGGCATCTGTCTGCAACGCCTTCATAATCCAATTTATCGGCGGTGAACTCGCGAGAGGATCGAAGACACAAGAAGCCGCGTGCTAATTGCGATAACTGATGATCGTCGCCTGTCAGCCGCCGTTCAGCCCCCGCGATTGAATCCTCCCTCAACCTTAGGCATCAGCTTTCCCTCTCAACGCCTGACCTGCGTAGTGTCCAATGCGCCCGGACAGGCATTTAATTATACGCGCGACGCCATGAAGCAGGCGTCACGCAGACTAACAGGCGGGCACCGAACAAGAAAAGTGCAAAACCTGTAGGGATCGCAAGGTGAAATGTGGTATGTAGGCTGATTCCTTTACCTACTACTCCATACCGTTCTCATCGACAGCCGTGCTTCCTGGCCGAAGAACGCTGGAGGAGGAAAGCTATAGAACTGACCGAAGATGAATCACGCGATATATTGGACACTTTGCTCAATATCGCTGTTGACATCCCCGGTCTCCTACATGGTCTGAATTGTCTAAAAGATGACAGGCTTCTGGATAGAAGGAACCCTGCAATCTTGGAAAGGAGTCTAAAACAGACCTTGACGTCACTTCAACAGTGGCAAGATACCTCTTTTTCCCGGCCTAATGCAAACAACGCCTCCCCCCCGAGATCCATCGCCCAAACTGCCTCCGCAATCGCCTTCCACCACATGGTCCTTCTTCTCTTAGAAGAGCTGTGCTACCTGCTTGAGGTTCCGTGGCTGCCATCGTCACCTCCATTGTTAGGAGTGATGGCCGGGCTGGACAGGCTATCAACTGCGCACACACGAGCGTAGCGCAAGCACGCTCTAGCAAGCGAGATATTGTGTCTGGCACAGCGATCCATAGGCGACGACACGGGTGTCTATGGTGTCCTCCGCTTTACCATGCCCTTGCATGTAGCTCATGACCATCTCCTCCCTGCAAGTCCGGAGATTGCTTGATGCTATTGGAAATCTCATGAATACCGTTATGGCTGGGCAGCATGGGTTCTACATGGCGAGGCGGCATGAGGGGATGTGTACGTCATTATTGGGATCAAGCTCTACTACTTAGAGCTTCCTTTATTCTGTCAATTCTTTCGAAGTGGTGGAATCTGTAATGTCGTATGAAACTGGTGAAAGCACTCTGGACTCGATATGAGTTAAAGCAAACCAGGCATAAGAGTAAAACGGGCTACCACTCAGAGCTATTTTTTTTTTTTTTACTAATCTTATAATTTACTAAAATAAAAATTTCTGACCCTCTTAGAGCTTTTTTATATAATCTTCTTAGTTTCTGACTAAACCCGATCAACTATAGTATCGACCTCTGGTGCTGCTATGTATTCCAAGTTCTTGTACAATAATTACAATGCATAAGCTGGTTGTATAAACGGAGCAAATTCTTATCTTTCTGGATTGTCTCTGGAGGAACCATTCGAAGCACGTAAGCCTCTGTTATAAACTTCTCCGAAAAAGCTGTACAATAAGTCACCCATTCACCATGATATCTCACAATCCAATCAGTTTTAGTCTGTGAGCTGGATAACAACCTTGCCGACTTGCTGCCCTGACTCAAGCCTCTGATAAGCCTCGCGATATTCCGCAAAGGGATAAACCCGATCAATAATAGGCCTTGTTCTGTGTCTCTCCATCGCTTGAAGCATTGCCTCGAAATCCATCCGCGACCCGACAGTTGACCCGGTTACTGTCAGGCTTCGAGCAAGTATATCAATTGGGGGAAGGCCGCCGCCGAATCCGCTTGCAAACCCAATCAGGACAACCGTACCAGTTATCTTAGTCGATGCTGCAGACTTCACAATGGTTTTCTCACCCGCGATATCTAGCACCTTATCGACGCCCTTTCCATCGGTCAGGGCAAGGATCTCGCGATCCCAGTCAGGGCAGGTGTTATAGTTCACCACAGACTCGGCGCCTAGTTCCTTCAGCTTAGCGGCCTTTTCGTCAGATGACGTGATCGCAAGGACCCGAGCGCCGAAGATTTTCGCAAACTGCAAGGCGAAAAGCGAGACACCGCCGGTGCCCTGGATCAGGACCGTCTGGCCCGGTTGGAGGGGCTCGATCTTGTTAAGCGCCGTCCAGGCTGTGACAGCGGCACAGGGGAGCGAGGCCGCCTCGGCGTAGGACATATAGTCAGGGATGGGGACGAGTGCGTCTTCGTAGAAAAGGACGTATTCAGCCAACATTCCGTCGATACTGAAGCCGACGCTGCTGGAACGATAGTCTGGGTTGTATGGGCCGCCAATCCAGTTTGCGGCGCAGCTAACTGAGACGCGATCACCGGTTTTAACTCGTGTTACGTCTTTGCCAACTGCAACAACTTCGCCGGCACCGTCAGATACAGGGACAACGTCTTTCTTGGTCTCTGCGGGATATTCCCCTCTCAATAGCGCCGTGTCGCGGTAGTTCAGTGAGGCCGCGTGTACCCTAATCAGCACTTCATGGCGACTTGGACTTGGTAGAGGTTCGTCCCGAATTTCTGCGCTGGCTTTATTGTCTGTGGTGACAATTCGGACGGCCTTCATTTGTTTCATGGTTCGAAATAACGGAGTGGCTTCAGCTAGAGGCAGTTTGGCTTATGTGGATAAGTGATTGTGAGATAAAAGAGTTGCAACTTGGGTGGCAGGATCCTAGAGGAAGTAAGACCGACCTGTAGATTTCTTATCTACTTATACTTGTAAGAATGCCCTCAAGTTAGGGTTAGAGTGGGCTCTCCGAGGTGGGAGCTCCGAAGTGGGGCGCTCCGATAAAGTGGCAATTCCAAGTGTTAACGAAATTTAAGTATAGTTTGTTAGTTAATAATGTTTAATTTAATTAATAATCCAACCTTTTTTTTTTTTTAATTTAATCTTACAAAGATGACATTCTTAACTAACTATTCTATTATTCCTGCGAACTATTACCCCCACAATAGATCTTGAGGAATAATTCTACTCGTCCAGAATCATCCAACGGGCCTTTGCTTACCATTTTATAAGGGTCTTCTTACCTACTAAAAGAATGGGCCCAAAGACATTCATATGTCAATTTCCGCCCTGCAATGCCAGATATCAGCGCAGGGAGCATCTTCGTCGTCATGAGACGCAACACCACCGACGACAACTTTTCCATTGTTCAACCTGTAACCGAGAATTTGGCCGAAGGTAAGGAGGAAGTCCTTACTTAAAGAGAAAGCGTAATCAACTAGTTCTTAATGCTGGCATCCTAGCGACACACTCCGGCGACACCTACAAAAAGTGCATGGAGTAAAGGAACGTGCGCCTCCCATGAAACAAGCATGTACATCCTGTCGAGATCAAAAGACTAGATGTCAAGGAGGGCCACCATGTAGCAAGTGCGTGGACCGCGGAATCCACTGCTCCCTGAGTCGGCAGGATGAAGAACAGCCAGGTGGCTATTTCAGTCACCCGCAAGACACACTATTGATTGATGATTATTCCACCCAATCCGAGGCCGGTCGCTCTGAAAAGGAAAAACACTATCTCAGTTTATATTTCAAATTATTTCACCCTCACTGGCCATTTGTTCACCAAGGGTCGTTTCGTGAGGGCCATGAAACACCCTTACTTGTCCAGTCGATGATTGTCATCGGTTTGTGGGTGAGTAAAGAACCGAATGCACAGTCAAAAGCAGTTGACCTCCACAATGTCCTCAGCTCGGCCATACATCAGCAGAAAGTATGTAGTCGAAACCCTCCCTCTACCTTGATCAATTCCCACTGACAGGGAAACCTGCAGGGGATATGGGATGCCTCTATCTCAAAGGACGCAAGTAGTACCTGTTCCTGGCCGATACCGACTTATCAAGCTATCTTGCTCCATCTAATCTTCGCTGTACTACACAAAGGCAGTGGAGTGCTTGGTCTGGACTTGAAGCCTTCTCTTACTCCTGCTGATGCCGATCTCCTTCATAGACTTGTCGCGAGCTGCAAAAAGCTGGGCATACTATACTATCCAAACATGCTGAGTCGCTTTGGACAAACTGATCTTGCTGAATTTGTCTGGGTAAGCATCGAGGAAATTAAACGATTTAACATGGCGCTCTTTAAGGTCTGCAGGGCTTTTAGCAGCTCAAGCGAACAGGGGAGTAGTATAGACAGCTTGGATATGGATATGGCAGGGGCAGCAGCAAGCAGGGGGCTTTATGCACGCGATTTACAGTTTCCATTGCCAAGCAATACTCCATTGTGGAACGCTGTGAGCAAAGAGGAATGGATGTCTGCGGCTACAGAGCACGGATGTGGCATTAGCCTGGATGACACTTTGGAGGTGGAATGGATCTCGAATTCAGCCAAAATCTTGGAGCTAATTGAGACTCCATATCTCTTCGGATAGTGTGGTTTGATAACCAGAGCGTGGTCTCAAGAAGCCGTATCATCGATGAAAAGTGGATCAATGTGTGATTTCCCGGGAGGTTCCATGATGGGTTCAAGAAATTGTCCTATGCAGAATCATGCCCCAGTGCCTGTTTTCTGGGTGTCGGTTGACAGAAATAAGAAATTGGATTGCTAGGAGTATCCTATGGCCAAATATGTTGATTGGATAAATCACCACTTTTCGGGAATACCACCTTGCTGGGATATTTTATCCCGCTCACTGGACCCAATATAAGCAATCCAGTCATAAGAGTACCACAGCACTAAATTAGCCGATAATATTAGTAACCCTTAACTCTAAGATAGAAGGTTCACATGTCTTTCCTTATTCCTCATTCCCGCATATAGTTAGTAGTTCATTACTAGCAAGGGCTTATGCATATACAAGCCTATATCTGCAGCCTTTATTGCAGATATCTAGATCCTTTTTTCCACCGGCGATACTCGAGTTTGGCTTTATTACCAAGGGAACTTTTTAATGTACACCAAGAATTGGAACCATAAATACTAGGGCTGTCCGATATGCGGCTTTTCTCACTTCCAAGCAGTGTGTATCCATACTTTGCATGTCATCCTTTTACGACACATATGTTTCACTCCATTACAGGTCAATCCCGAGGTCTTCTAGTCTCTTCGACATGGCTAATATCATGAGTGCCGATTATAATCTCGACAAACACCACCCGGTCAAAATGGAAAGTCTTCCAATCTCGCCTCGAGAAAACCAGGGGGATAGAGAGGACAGCTATTGCAACCTTTCCACACCGATTTCTACAGAGATAGATGCAAATTTAGTAGACAGCACCTATAAGCTTCTCAAGGACGTAGAGTCCCCGAAGTTCGACAGCCGATGGCAAGAAAGCCCCGGCAAGGCATTAAGTCCGTCTGCCAAGCACGCAGCGTCCACATACCAACGAACTCTCTGCCTCGGATTAAAAGCATTATTAGGGCAAATCACAATTCCCAATAGCCAAGCCTGGCAGGATGCAGTTGCATACTGCCGAGCAGTCATCGCTTACCCCCCAAGACTCCATTAACCGGGCCAATTCATACTGGATCAGATCCTCTTTCGACGTAAGCAAAGCATAACTGCAACGATTTGGCCCGGGGATTATTGCAGCAGCGCATAAGGGCACTTCCGATATCGTATCAGATCATTTCCAAGGAAATCGGCTGAAAGTGCCCCACGTCGATAAGAAACAGAGCTTCTACCGCAATGCGCAAAATATGAACCAGGGCGCTTTCTTTTGTCCTTCCTCTAGCCCCTTGGCGGTTGGGGCCTTTGACTCGGGGATAATGCCCTGTTCGCTGAGTATGTCAGCTTTTCTGGACCCGGAGACGGCTGTCAAAGCGGCGTCGATTTCTGGGGTTGCCATTTGCGATGACTATGCTGCGTTCTCGATTGAAGATTACGAGATTCGGCTGCGTATAGTTGGGGTTTCCCTTGGGTGTGCGTATGAATTTGGTGGGCAGTTGGTTAATGCAATAATCGATGGGAGTATGTTGCAATGTACTGGGACTGGTGAGCAGCTTACTCTTGAAGCTGCTATGGCGTGGAGAGTTATCAGTGGTTGTACGTCACCTAACAGTGGGTATATATTCAGTAAGGGAAGTCTGGACGAGGGACTTGTCATAACCGAAATTGAAATTGCGGTGCATGACTTGCTAGACTGGAGGTCTGATATAGCGGCTGGGAACCATGAAAATGGAGTCTCGGCAGCATATGGACTAGGTATCAAAGACCCGTTTCACGCTTATTTGGAGGCTATATTGACGCGAGCGGAGTCTAATCCAAGATCTGGTGGGTATGCGATTGCGGCCATTGTGTTTATGCACTTTACCGGTGTTAGATACGGTGCATATGACTTATGATATCATGGCACTCATGGTGAGCCATGCTCTGAATGTGTTCAGATTCTTGGAAACGTGACAATGGGTGAAGGGCTGGTCTGGGCTCCAAAACCGCCTTCTAGAAGCTTTGAGGATAGTGCCTGTATTAGGCGGCTTGGGAAGATTTGGATTGATGAATTCAAGGACTGTGGTTTGATTCAAGAAAGTCTCAGCTGGTTTCAGCATCTTGTGTCTACAGGAGAAATTCGAATTTTTGATGTTTTGAATCCAATTGATGAAGTTGATGCTGAGGCCGATTGGGTCTGACAAGGTAGACTTTTATATTTGTTGTCTCTGCACATATACAGAAACCTAGAGCTGATACTGTCAACTTTCCTCTCATGCTCACTGTTACCCTAACATTATCGATATTTAGAATAGCTACAGATAATTGAAACCGCTGAACTCTATACAAATCCCCCCTAATCCACAACAGAGCAAAGAACCAAGAATTCAATTCAATAAATACGAAACACAGGCAACACTTTTAGAGCCCTAACATAATCAACCAACCAATCCAATTCTAGCATTTCATCACATGCTTACGGAGTACATCCCAGATCTGCAAGGGAAACTATGTACCGAGCGTCAGCAGCCTCACTGTTTAATTGGAATAAGGTTTCCAGGAACTGAGCGTTGTCAACTTAGGGCTGTTTGCTAGCTTCTCATAAATGCCTGAAGCGGGAACCCATCGGACGACAGTTGCCCTCTATCCTGATCTGTTCTTGTTATGTACATCTACTCTGTAGAGCCACATCGTCTGAATATTGGATCCACTGGGGCTGGATGTCCAACCAGAGGGCTAGCTGAGTGTTGAAGAAACTCATTCTGAGTGGGAGTCCCCACTGGAAGGGAATTGTTGACGTGCTATATTGGGATGGATTATAACCTCACCTTAGGATCCAGGAAGGAATTCGCTGAGCGAGGTTTTGGGTATGGAAAGCAAAACTGTTGATAAGGATAATGATAAGTAGGTTGAAGCAATTTAAAATGAAGAAGAAAAATAAAATAAAATAAAATGAATAAATAAATAAATAAATAAATAAATAAAGCGTAAACGAGACGATAGTGTAACTGGAGAGAAATAAACTCGTCAAACACAAGCCCACACAGGCCCAATCGGAACAAGAAAAGACATTGACGATCAGAAATTGACAACGAGCATGCTAATCAACTACAAAAAACCCCCTCGTTCAGCTGATCAACTGAAGAAAATCAATGCCGGGGGTGACGGCAAACTCCTTATACGTGGATAGCAAACGCCCTAAGTTAGCCGCCAATCAAGCTGGTTGTTTGCTTCCCAACTCCACCTGTTCCTTGGGTATCTACAGATGTCTCCCTACCAACGAGCATACTACTGGGGGGAGCAAACAGTAAAGCGAATTTCATCATCGTAGTTTCCGAACGCGACTGTGTTTTATAGCGGTGAGCTTCTGCTAATTCGAGGGCTGAGGACGCTCTGGTAAATTCTTGACTACTGTTTCTGACTCTGTGGTACCTTCGTATATGAATTTTTTACAAGGCAGATATATATATGGACCCTCACAGTTCTTGAACAGTTGTGGGTGGGCGAAGCTTGAGATCATCTGGGCTTGAGGTATTCTTTTGCTCGTACAGTGTCCTATTGTTATGGGAATTTTTAACTCAGGTTAGGCTTTCGGTTAGCAGCCTTTTTTTTTTTTTTTTTTCTCTTCATGGTCATCGTCATAGCCTTTGGATACGTTCAAAACTGTGAAGGCACATTCATTATCGTCGGTACAAGAAACTCCCGCTGACAAAGGCAGATGTGTGAGAACGTGCGAGGTCGGTTCGGGGTCTGTGGCCACGAAGCCACTGTATACATCGCGAGATGTGCTGTTGCTCTGCAGAACCAAGTGACGTGTCCACCTAACCAACGCCAAGACGTCTGGGACTGGCAGGAGGATAAGGATAACGAAGAGTGTCCAGCATGCAGGGGGCAAACGCCACCCGAGACACCTTGACAAGAGAGAGACGCGAACAGGGACGGGAAGGGGGAAATCTTTGAGTGCTGCCTTGATATTGTAGTTCACGCCTGGAGCAATGAATTCCTCATGCCAGCCACTAGTTTCTGTTCCAGTCTTCCGCCCCATGTATATGAGTTGGCTCGGGCCTTCGCGGAGTCAATCCATTGTGGGCGTGGAATGAAAATCCTAACACACTAGACGTAAGCCGTGTAGCTCGGAAGGAATGGGGTGGCGACTCTCCTACCAATTGTCTCCCTGGCGGCTACTCAGATAGACTTGATGGGGGATCTGCGCAACTTCGTCCGCGCCGAGTTCTCCACCAACGTTCAAGTCGAAGATAAACCAGCGCTTCACCGGCTTGGCCGAGTCGAAATCCGCGGGGATGTGGACATGGTCGTATCCAGTAGGTTGGAGTGACGCACGGAATTCTCGGTTTAAGACTTCTTCGCAGAATGCACTCCCTAGAGTATTATGGCGTCGCTGTGGATTACCACCAATATCAGTAACGCAGGCAGAGATAATGACTCGCATTGGGCTCTCCATCATGATTCCGGTCCATGAGGGTCCAAAAAGCAAACGGCTCCCATTTTTTGAAGAAGCACTCTGCGCCTAGGGCCATGAAGGATGATGATTTGCACTGACAGTACAGCGAGCCGGCCGGATTAATTCATTGACCGGTCTCGTCTCATCGTTTGTTTCACTCGACATGGATCAACGTCCTAAGATCTCCTCTTTTTAATCTCGCACCGGGGTTCATATCCCATTCCTCTCTTTCAGCAGAATTCGATGGCGCTCTGGTGGTGTTTAAATGGCTGGATGTCAACGAGTCATGTCCATAGTTTCGTTGGTTGCAATTTGATTGGCACTAACTCTAATTAGCTTAGAAGAGCTTCAGATTTGATTAAAACAAAAAGCCACTTGGGAGAGTTGACAGTGAAGAAATATTGCGAGTGGGCCAAAGGGGCCCTGTACTCTTCCCTTTTCGGCATGCAACGCAGTCACTAGTCTTCCTCAAGCCCTGATAAAGTCTAGATCGATGCAAAGTAATATTGTCCCCCATTACAATGATTGGAGTAGAAGCAGTTTTGTGGATACTTTCTTTTGCTTCTTACTTTATAGTTTACGATATATCAGCATTGAGCTGGCCATACTTAAGACACTGACATTACATATGTACATATCCAGACGACCCGGTCGCATTCAACGGCAGTGTTGTCCTATATTGCCAGCACTCTGATCATAAATCTATAGGCATTTGTAAAAGCTACCTTATCTGTCTCACAGACATAGTTGATGAAATGTACGTCATCATATTCACAAAGCTTGTTCATTTAGGAACTTCAATCCCGCCATACGAAGAGATCCTCTACATGACAATAGGGGGGGATAAAGATGAGCTCATGGCAACGCACGAGCATTCTCCCCTCTCGCACATGCATTGTATTAAAATAATGGCAGCACCACAAGGACCAGCTGCGAAAAGGTGTTTGATTCTTGTCGTAGTTGGATAGAGTTACCTACTACAAACAACTCCCCAGAAGTTAAGATGCAGATTCGGCGGTATTTCACTCGTTCCAAAAGCCAGTCAAACGCCCCGGCCACCGATGAAGTCTCTCCGGAAAGTCGTGAGATATAAACTATTCCTAATTCCAGATTTGCAAAGTTAGGCCTCTGATATAGGACAGAAAAGATAGAACCCCCGGCACCAGAGACAAGAAAGAAGAAACTTGCCGCCAAAGCAAAGAATCTTGTCCGGTGTGCAGCGTGTACGGAGCCCATTGAGCGCCGTGCTACCTTGAAAGCCCTATGTCCCCACCGTTATTGCTATCCCTGCATAGCCAAAATGTTCGAATGCACCATCAACCGCAGAGACTATTTTTGGCCTCCAACATGCTGTTCCAAGGAGATCCCGCTTTGGCTCGCCTGTGCGTGCCTAAGTCAAGACACGATCAAACGCTTCAAAGACAAAATGACAGAATATAAAGATATCAATAAAACATATTGTTCCAATTCGAACTGCTCACGGTATCTGGCTCCTTCTCGCTGTCGCGATCGTATCAGGGTATGCGATCATTGCCTTGAGAGAACGTGTACCTCTTGCAAAGGGTCCTCCCACCGAGGGAGATGCAAGAAGGTCCATAACGACGGCACAAAAGAGTTTCTTGCATTGGCGACGAAGAAGAAGTGGAGGAACTGTCCCCAATGTCTCCGTATGCTGCAACGCTACGATGGCTGCAATATTCTGAGGTGAGTGGAGTCCCTTTCAGGCATTGTCTTCACCAATACATATTAATCATTATAAGCTGTTTCTGCGGTGCTCAAGTCTGTTATGATTGTGGAAACAGATCAATGGAGTGCACATGCAAGATGGGACGAAAAGTGCAACCACGATGGTAGGAAGTACTAGTGGGAGATGCTCTAGTTAGCCTATTCCGTTGATGTCCTTCGTCGTATTTCCTAGAGTCAATTCAAGTTGGTTCAATCTTCAGGAAGAGATAGCGTTCTTCGTGGACATTAGCCTGGTATGACTTAAAAGGATGCTGGCTCAGTGTATACATTCAATAGTTTTGTATGCTTTATGTACATGTCGCAATTAGAAACCCAACGGATCCACTTGTCCCAGGAAGGAGTTATTACCCTCTCCACGCAGAAGTGCCTCGATATCAACTCGTCCCGAAGTCAGATACCGCTCACTCACACCCACATTGACTCTCTGTGAGAGTAGCTGTTTCAATTCGGCGCGCATCCCCGCCAATTCACCCTTGGAAGTGTTTCCAGCTTTCCGTTCGCGCTCCTGTCGTCCACGTCCGCGTCCGCGCGCGCGCGCTGTGGCATTGTCGAACTCCTCGCTGTCGTAGTCAACACCAAGATCTTCTGCAGCTGTGCGGAGCCAGTTATCCTCGGACGAAACCTTCTCTTTAGCGATATTGGAGTCAACGATTCGAGCCGCTAGAGTGACTCGCTGTTTGACACGAGATACGACTCGACGATCTAACTCTAACGATTCGAGAGGCACCTTCTTTCTGTTGGCCATGTTCGCATGCACCTTTGCAGCGAGTCGGACCACGCCGACCATTTCGTCCGGAGAGCAGATGATGACGCTCTTTCCCGACGCTCCAGCACGCGCGGTACGGCCAGACCGGTGGACATATGCGTCCGCAGTACGAGGAGCGTGGTAATGGACTACAAAGTCAATACCTTTGATGTCGAGTCCACGCGCAGCAACGTCGGTTGCGACAAGGATGGAGCTAGGGTCGGATGATGGAGAGGAGAACCGTTCTACGGAACGAAGTCGTGCCTTTTGGGCCATAGAAGAGTGAAGAGCAAGTGCTGGGAGTTGAAGGGTTTGTAGGAGCTGAGTTAGTCGTCGGACGGCGGATATGGAATTCGTGAAAACTAAAGTGCGGTGTTTAGGGTGGTAGAGCAGAAGGGTGTAAAGGAAAAGGTCCTGCATAAATCGTTAGACGGAATATATATGATGCGCTTGGTTTGAAACGTACCTTTTCCATAGCAGCGCACTCCACAATACCCTCCTTAAGGTTCTCTGCCATCTGCGAAACTGGGTTCACATCAATAAATTTAGGCTTCTCCTCGCGGAAGTTAAGCTTCTGAAGAAGGTACTCCATTGACTCCTTTTGGCTCATGATATCACCACCGGTCCACTTGCCTTTGCCCGCCAACTTCTGCTGAAGGTCACGGTGGAATGTAGCTGAGAAAACCAGGGTCTGTCTACCAGACTTGGGGTCTGGTTCATCGTCAGATTCGTCGCTCGACTCATCTGGGAACTCTCCTTCCACAACGCGGTCGAGAGCTGCCAATATCTCGTGAGCTTCCTTGAAGTGTCCTTCACTCAGAAGTCTATCGGCCTCATCAATAACAAGGAATTTTATCGCCTGCATCTTGCGAATCAGACCATGTCCAGAGCTGAGAACCTCCCACACTCGACCAGGTGTACCGATTACGATATCAGCGTTGGTAAGGACTCTCTGTTGCTTTTGCACTGACAAACCACCGGTTAAAAGCGCAATTCGAGCATTGACGCCCGGGGAATGGCTGACCACCTCCCCAATATGCTTCGCGAGCTGATGCGCCAGCTCTCTAGTAGGCGATAAAACAAGGGCGATCGGTGCGGTCTCATTTTTTTCTGAATCATTTTGAATTTTACTCCGCAACTTTTCCAGATAGTACTCTAGAATGGGGATTCCGAAAGCGAGCGTTTTTCCTGAACCTGTCGAGGCCTTTCCGATGACATCGCGACCATCCAAGATGGGAGGAATGCAGGCCTTTTGAACAGACGTTGGCGTGGTGAACTTCATCTTCGAGATTCCAGTGAGGATTTCGGGAGAGAGCCCAAGGGACTCCCAAGCAGAGACGTCCGCTCCGTCGTCGTCTTCTTCATCCTGAAGGGCTGCAAACGAGATCCCGGATTGAATTCCCTTGTCTTCCTTACTTTCAGCAGCTTTTCCTTTCTGTTCTTTCGTCGCGTCCTTTGCGTTTTTCTTCTTCTCCTTCGCATTCTTGTTCTCTTTCACCTTCACCTTCTTATCGGACTCGTTGGGTTCGTCTTGGGTCTCCTTCGATTCCTCCTGGGAAACAGCTTGATCGTCATCGCCGAAACCTTCCCATTCATCATCGGACTGAGTATTCGTTTCCTCTGGCTCTTTCTTCTTCAAAATTGACTTTTTCGGTTTTCCAGCCTTTGCCTAATGGGTGTCACTATATATCGCTCAAAACCGCGGCGCAGAGAACATACCTTGAATTTGATCTCACCATTCCCTTCTGACCGTATAATATCAACACCCTCAATTTCCTCCAATCCGAAAAATCCACCAGCATCTTCAAGACGATCCGGCAGAGCTACCTCCTTCCAGTTAAGCTCATCCATTCCGACAAAGCCATCCCAGTCACTATCCTCCCCGGTCGCATTGCTAGGCTTTGCGCTCTTCTTCCTTTTCTTCACAAAGGATCCCGGACCCTTTTGGTCCCGCTGCCGTTTCTGTCCCATGTCTAGGACTTATAAACAATTATGAGGATATATGTTGTTTCTGGTTGATCTGAAAGAATTATTTTCGGCGCCGAGAAGGGAAAAAGAGCGGCAGAAAAAAAGCCCTCCGCTCGCCGCCTTACAGTCAATCTTATCGGCACGCCCGCCTCTGCCCCACGGAGAAATTCATTGAAAATCACTCTTTTTTACATACCCATTGGTATAGTTTCAACCGTCGCGCAGACACCGCGAAGATGGGTAAATCCTCCAAGGACAAGCGCGATGCGTACTACCGACTAGCCAAAGAACAAAATTGGCGTGCGCGCTCAGCGTTCAAGCTAATCCAGATCGATGAGCAATTTGATCTATTCGAGCACGAGAACCCGGAGAAAGTTACACGAGTTGTGGATCTTTGCGCAGCGCCGGGTAGCTGGAGTCAGGTGTTGAGTCGGGTGTTGATTAAGGGCGAGAGCTTCGGACGTAGGGCGTGGGTGGAGAAAAAAGGCAAGGAAACGGCCGCGCTGGCGAGTGCGAACGGTGATGCGACGGACAACGGAGTGGATGGAGATGCGGATATGCAGGAGTTGAAACCTAGGAAGAATGTCAAGATTGTCTCGATTGATCTGCAACCGATGGCGCCGCTGGAAGGCATTACAACCCTCAAGGCAGATATTACACACCCGTCCACAATCCCTCTTCTTCTCCGCGCCTTGGACCCTGAGGCTTATGATTCCACCACATCTTCTTCCCCTTCTTCTCTCCGCCAACCGCATCCTGTCGATCTTGTTATCTCCGACGGTGCCCCAGACGTCACTGGTCTGCACGATCTAGACATCTACATTCAGTCCCAGCTGCTCTACGCTGCCCTGAACCTCGCTCTAGGCGTTCTCCGCCCCGGAGGCAAGTTTGTGGCCAAGATCTTCCGCGGTCGTGATGTCGACCTTATCTATGCACAGCTTCGTACGGTCTTCGAGAAGGTCAGCGTCGCGAAGCCGAGAAGTAGTCGAGCAAGCAGTCTGGAGGCGTTCGTAGTCTGTGAAGGCTTCATTCCACCGTCCATTCACGGTGGCTCCATGGGCATGGATGCCCTCAAGAACCCCCTATTCGGCGGCGCAGCAGTGGCACATACTGTATCCGCCGATGGTAACGTCGGTGTAGAGGTGATGGATGTTGATTCTGAAGCCAAACCCGGAGCTGATCTCACGACGACAAAGACCGTTACTTCAACCGAACCTCATAAGGAGAACCAGGTCCGCATGCTGCATGCCGATTCTGATAGCTCTTCTACACCCGACCCCCTTTCTCAAAAGCCTGTGACGGAGAAGTTTGCCGTCGAGAACAGGTGGATTCCTCCTTTCATCGCCTGCGGCGACCTCTCCTCCTGGGATTCCGATGCGTCCTACACTCTTCCTCCTGATCATGTAAGCTTAGATCCTGTCCAGCCACCTACAGCTCCGCCTTACCGGAGAGCACTGGAATTGAGGAAAGAAAAGGGTGGTGCCTATGGAAAGACAAAATTGGGGGCTCTCGGTCGGGCCTGAGATGTTAACGTTTTCTAATTGATTTTCCTACAAAACTTACATGCGTGGCTTTTCATTATACACTCCCGAAAGTCGGTTCATTGAAAGGCCAGGTCCATTGATTTGCATAACTGAGGCGGTGTTTCTGGAAAAGACAGGAGATTTACAATACAAAAGACTATATAGAAGATACCCAAAGGATACAAAATATATCATTCGAAAGGGTATGTGTGTATGCCAAATTCAGTGTGGTGATAGAACTGTAGTGCAAACAATCTTATAGCCATGAGGACTCTTCTAGGCTTCCAAAGTCATCTTCCAAGATAACCCTAGTACAATATCACCAAAACTAGCACTATTGCACAAGTAATAGGGAGCGATGGGGTCCCTATTAAACCATGGTGCTAGATAAGTCTTAGCAAGAATTCTGATAGCGAATGTAACTCGAAGAGGAAAAGTTTAGCCAAGTGGGGAGTTAATGGTGTCGCCCAGAACCGCATGGCTCGGGCCGGAAAGCCAGGCCGACCAGCAGATAGATTTAATGAAGAAATAATCAAGATCTAGGTCTCGGGTGCTATGCTGCAGCTAAGATCAGAGTTGTGTTAAGAAAACTATAGGTCCTGCCTAGTTATGGTTCTATTCGGAGGAAAGTGAATGAGGTTCGAAAAGGTAAACAGTGGTAATAAGTCTATTTCTATAGATCAGGTGCGTGGGTGCTAACAAGCGCTAAACCAAAACAGGATGGTCATCAACTTCATGTCGACTTCATGCACAGAGAAACTCAAAAGAATAATCAACATATCAGCAAAACCCTTTTTAACAAGCCCTCTAGTACACCTCAAGGACGTATCTCTCCTCGTCCTTGAGTTTCTCAATTTCCCTTCGAGTGTCAACCTTCTTGCCATTGGCCTTGGCCTCGGTGGCAATTGCTTCTTCCAGCACTGCGGTCACATCAGGAACCGGCCATGTGGGACCGCAAAGGTAGAAAGACCCCTCTTCCCGGATGTAAGCATCAACGATCTCAGGCAAAGTCTGGCGCATGCGATCCTGGATATAGATCTTCTCGGGCTGGTCACGGGAGAAGGCACGGCCAAGGAGGGTGATGACACCGGCCTCTTGGTAGGCCTCCCATTCCTCACCGTAGCAATACTCTTCGCGCTGGTGACGGGAGCCCATGTACAACAGAACAGCACCAATCTCCTTGCCCTGGGCCTTCTCAAGTGCACGGTGCTGCACGAAGGCACGGAAAGGAGCAAGGCCAGTACCAAGACCTGCCATGATAATAGGCTGAGTGGACTTAGGCGGCAACTTCATCACACTTGATTTCACACTGACGGTGATGGGGGAGCCAGGTTGAAGCCTGCTGAGGTAGCGGGTGGCCAGACCAAATCGGTCACGGCCGTTCGGAGCCACCCAGTTGACGGCGACGATCATGAGCGCCACGGAGTTAGGAGTCACTTTCTGGCAAGAGGCGATGGAATATTCACGACGCTTAAGGGGACCGACGATACGGATCAAGTCATAGAACTCAGGGTGAGCAGAGGGATATTCAAGCAGGATGTCAGCAAAAGTGACGGTATCAACCTCAGAGCGACGCTTGAATTCCACAGCGCCCTCGGGACCACCCAGGGTAAGAAGGTCGGTCTTTTCCTTCTGATCAGTTGCGAATTCAGCAAGAGCCTCGTAGAAGCGTTTAGGCGGGCGACCGAAGATATCAACATTTTGTGTGAGAGCCTGGAACACTGTACGATTTTCCAGCACGGCTGGATCCTCGCGGCTAGGTACCTCAACGATATCGTCGGCGTTCAGACCATAGAATGCAATGAAGTCAGAGACCTCCTTGACGTCATTCTCGGCGTGGACACCAAGAGCCTCACCGATGTCATACGTAAGACCAGAATCACCCAAATCGAATTCGATGTGGAAGATGTTCCGGTCATAAGTGACAGGTGTCAGGCGTCTGTTCTCCTTGACATGGACAGTAAAGGTCTTGGCAGCAGTGTCAGGTCGGAGAGCAGTCTTGGTTCCGTAGGCCTCCTTGAAAGCCAGGCCCTTTGCGGCAGTCTGCCAGTCCTTGAGCAGAGAAGCGGGCTCAGAATCCTCCTTGTCGAACGACACAAAGCTGTTAGGAGAGATGTCCTTGGGAAGCTGGGGGGCCTCAAAGCCTTCCTCGGGTGTTTTCCATGCCTCAGGAATCTCAATTTGGCGAAGGAGCTTATCAAGATCCTTGCTGACGTTCTCAAGAGATTCAACGTTACCAGTGATCGAACCCAGCTTCTTGATACCGACCTCCTCCAGCGAAGGAAGTGCCACTCGCAGGAAAGCAGTCTGGAGAACAACAGAGGCAAGTGACTCGTCGCCGGTGACTGAGGGGTCCACAATGTAGACAGAGATTCCACGTTCCGCAACCTGCTGCCTGAAGGCTACAGGAAGCTTCTTCTCCAGATCCTCATCCTTCACGCCAGGAGCGTTGATGATAAGGTTGCCGTTGTTCTGGACAGAGGCAGCAATGTCGATATCTGCAAGAAGCTTGACATCTCCAACATATGCGGTATTGGCGGCAGTGATAGCATAGGGAGCTTCCAAAGTCTTGGAGCTCTTGCGGATATCAATACGTACTGCACCTCCCTGGACAAGGTTGTCATGAGTCTTGTTGGTGGTCACGTTGCTTGCTGAATCGGCAGCAAGGGCTTGGGAGAGGACGGCGGCAGCATTATCGCAGGCAGAGGTATCGACATCCCAGAAGATATATTCTTGGACCGCAGAAGGGTCGAATAACTGAAGAGGCACAGTCTGGCCATCAGTCTGAACGACAGGCTTTTCGGAGACAAGCTGGAATGCAGCTGCGGTGTTGATCAGATCCCAGCGCTGGGAGCGGGCATACTTGATGTCCACACAGGTAGGGACGTTCTCACGGCCAGTAGCGAAAGTCAAAGCTGCAAGCACATCTTCGTATAGGGCAGACCGGATGCCCTGTTCTTGAACAGCTTGTTCGTTGATAACCTGGCCTAGGACACCAACAGTCTTCACAGACTGAGGTAGCACTCGGAGAAACTCCTCCTCCACAAATGGACGGTAAACACGAACGTTGATAACACCAACACGAACGCCATCCTTGGCCAGAGAGCGGGCAATCTGGGCAGTGAGAGATGCCTCAACGGTACCAAAAGCAACCAAAACAGAGACCGGTTCTGCATGGCCGTGGTACTCGAAGAGACCATAGTCCGTGCCGAGTTCACCGTTAAGAGACTGGAGCAGCTCGAGTAGCTTTCCCTGGTTGTCAAGGTGACGGCTACGGGAATCTTCCAAGGTCTTGCGGACAGCTTCATAAGTGCGAGAAAGACCCGCCTGGCTCAGAGTGTCGATAACCCGGGTGGTTTCACGTCCAACGCGGACACCATCGTAAATATGAACAGAAGGCAAGACCGACGCGAGTAAAGTCGTAAGCAGCGCCATGTGCTGCGACTCGTGAACGGAGGCACTAGAAACGAGACCCAGGCCAAGCTCTTCAGCAAGAGAAAGGGCGGACGCATAATCGGAGACCAAGCCCTCCTCTCCGGAATAGTCGACAGCAGCAACATGCGCGGCAACAGGGCTGGCAACTGAGTACAACAGAGAAAGCTGCTCCAAGGCTGTGCGCATATAAGGAAGGGTGGCAGAGGAGGCGACAATGCCCTGGGGAACATGGCGCTTCTTCAAGTCGAAGTCTTGAGAAAACAGGTAGCCAAGGGCGATGTTACCAGCACCCTGACGAGTTTCCATTGCTTGGATGGCAGGGGTTTCGCCATTGGCATTGGACTCTTGGCTGGAGGCCCATTGCTTGAGAGCGGCATCAAGGTCGAATGACTCTGGAGAATAAGAGAAGATCTTATCGCTCAGGACATACGCCACTTGCTGGATAAGCGTCTGCGCAGTCACATAGGTCGGGCCGTCTAGAGACGACAAGGCTGGAGAGGAAGAAGCCATCCCGACAAAAATTCCTGTCTAGATACAGGTCAAACAAACAAGTATGAAGACCAGAAAAAAAAGGAAAGGAATGAATCATAAAGTGGGAGGCAATGGGGTAAAAAGAGTCCGACCCCCCATCCGCAGTCTATAGAAATCCCCAGGGACCCGTTGCCTATTGCGGTTAGCGTGAATTGCGTGATTCTTCTCATTCTCTGTTATCGATTAGATTTTTATCGGCATCTCCAGCGGTAAACAGCGGCAGAACTCGCCACTTCCGGCACTTCTCCGCATTATTCACAAGCACAGGAAATTCTCCAATTTCTTGGTGGCCTGAGGCAGATACATCCTGTTTGAGTCTAGCCTAATTGATAACTAGCTCATTGATATTAATCGTTCACTAATCAACCCGACGTCATCTTCTACCACCTGCGGATGATTTTAATCAACTAACCTCGTTATAAACAGCACTCATAATTGCTATTTCTTTGTAAAGATGGCCAACACAGCCTTAATCGGATGTACCGGAATGGTGGTGAGTGCTTCATATAATCATACTTATCACAATATCTCCCCCCTAGATTGTCGCGAGATATATATCTAGTGGTGCGCCGTGGCTGACTCTCAACTCTCTGTCATTGTCGGGTTTTAAAGGGGAGCTTTATCCTCAACAACCTTCTCGCTCATCCCTCTGTCGCTCGTGTGGACACAATTTCCCGCCGCACCCCGCAGGCCGCATCTGCCGCCCAGACCAAACTGACCACAATCGTATCTGACGATACATCGCGCTGGGCCAGTGAGCTCGCCTCGCTTACTCCCACTCCATCTATCTTCTTTTCCTCGTTTGCCACCACTCGTGCAAGCGCCGGAGGCTTTGAAAACCAATACAAAATAGAACATGGCCTGAATGTCGAGATGGCACGTGCAGCGCGCGATGCTGGCACAAAGGTTTACGTTCTGATCTCATCCGCCGGAGCTGATAAGAATGCATATTTCGCATATCCCCGAATGAAGGCTGAAATTGAAGAAGACGTGAAGGCGCTAGGGTTTGAGAGAACCGTGATTCTGCGTCCTGGTCTCATTGCCGGGCAAAGAGAGGAAAGCCGGCCTATGGAAGCTGCGGTCCGCTGTATTGCTGGATTTGCCGGGAAAATACACTCTGGATTGAAAAATGGATGGGCCCAGGAAGCGGATGTTATTGCAAGAGCCGCGGTCAACGCAGGACTCAAGGCTTTGGAAGGGGATGTTCCTACCGGTAGTGAGAAGGTTTGGGTCCTGGGCGGTAGTGACATTATCAAATATGGAGCTGAGACAAAGAACTGAGTAAAAGGGGCAGATGTATATTTTTCATAAATAACTATAGTGTAGATAATAGTGATAGTGCTTACTGGTCTTCACAGCAAATCAACTGAAACATGTAGTCTTTCAAAAAACAAGATTTATGTAAACACGGGGTATTCAGATTTATGGCTGAACCTCCATTGTACAGCCCAGTTCAATTCTTCGGCTTGTTCACCTCTTTATTCTTCCGCGCCGCTCCCCTTCCGCTCGTCGCCTCTTTCTCTTCGTTCCGATCCGGAAGCCCCTCCCGCGTTGGTCGTGTGCCACTCACTTCGGTATTCCCCGGGCTAACATTCAGGGGGTTGCTAACTTTACCTTGCTGTTGACTCTCTTTCTCGGACTCTTGGATTTCGCTCTCAGGTCTCGTCGTGTTCGGGTCATAGGCGGATGGATGGCCAGCGACTTCATTATCCGTACCCGTTTGGGTGCCTTCGTTTCGCTGAGGGTCGAGGATGTTCCGATCGTGGAATTTACTTTCCTCTTCCTTTTGCTGATGGGTTGTTTGAGGTCTTGGGGAGGCGTGGAACGCTCGCCTGTTTTGGTTGATTGGCTGGATAAGTGGCTGTTGGGCTCGGGTGTTGGCGGTTTTAATGGGCTGGCCCAGCCGGGTAGTAATTGAGGTGAGTTGCTTGAGCATTGGCATGTTTGCGATAGCAGATTGATGAATATTTGTTGCTGAAGGTAGGAGAACTGAGGGTACTAGTCTTCGTAAAATGGTAATAGGTTTGAGATGAAGATGTAGCTTCCTGGGCTGTTATTAGCAACTAGTATGATATACCAAGGTATTGATGATAATTACTTGTCTTAAATAATGGTAACGGAGCTCTTTAGAATGGAGAGATTGTGTTGAAGAAGGAAGAAGGAAGCTGGACTTGCGCTGCGGTGGGCGAGCTTGTACTTTATTCCATTGATCATGTTGACGTCATTGGTCTACAGTGAGTACATCCAGGGCATTGCTTTACCACGTGATGATGACAGTACCACAGAGCAAACTACTTGAGCTTGAATGTTGAAGTATGGGAATTGTTCTACAGGGCAGGTTAATACTTTGAGGACTATATCTGGGTAAGCGCGCAATGTGCTAAAGCCAAGCACGTGTTCGCCAAACTCTAGCCTTGTCCTCTCGTACATATACGTAGGAGCAGCACAAGCATGATTCCTCTTTTTTTTTTTTTTTTTTTTTTTTCAAAGAAGGAGGGACATAGAAGAGTGCCCATAAATGGCAATGCTACTTTCGTATCTTTGTAAAGGTTAGTTAGCTGCATGACTGCCTGAGGACTCCCTTAGCCCGAAGACTGTGACGCCTTGAGGGAGAAGTAAGGCAACAAAAAATTATGGAAACCCCTAACTAATGGACATCAGACAGACATCTGCCACGTCAATGACCTCAGTTGAGGCGTAGCTGCCTCATCGTGATGGCACAGTGACTGTGCATATAGAGCCACACTTTGCCAGTTGCTCTAGTGTAGGTTCCAAGATCGTGTCGGCCGCACTTTGGCGGAAATATTAAGGCTTGCATCTGTTGATTCGACTACTTATAAGGATCTAGCGGGGCCCAGTGCAAATCCGATGGCGATCACACTGGCGTCAGCGGTCGGGCCACTGCGCCCACTGCGCCCACAAGCCCCAACTCGTTTGGTATCCCCAAAAGCAATCATACCGAACCCCTGTCGAAGTCCGATATCTAGTTCAGCCAGGCCCCGCGTATCAAGAAAAGGGGATACGGGCATATGCAGAGCTAAAATCCCGGAACCTGAATTGCGCAAAAGGACCGCTGGCAGCTGTCAGCTTGCAGATGCGAGGAGCCGCCCTGAGTCTCCTGTGTGCGAGTCAGTGGAACCCGTATTCAAGATCCCTGGAGCTAAGGATGGACTTGACAGGGTTACTTATTAGCTGCATATATTCCTTGGCCTGCTATCGGACTCTATTGGATACAGCTCGTTGCCGATATTTAGCATATTCCAGCCATGGGCCAATCCGAACGCGTAGGGGTCACACAGTGGTGAAGGCCCTCTCACCTTAAAATTTCGAGAGCAAACCTAAGTCTTTCCATTTGTTACTCGCAAAACACATATGCGTAGATGTGCAGAGGATTCCGGCGTAACATTACGATCACGGGACTGAAGAACCCAGCATAGTGGACCGTGCATGTGGGGGTCAGATATTCAATTTCAACGTCGTCAGAGTTAACGAAATTCACCTCGCTAATACAGAAATGAGTAAGTCCGCGGAATGGGTCAAGGTGATGGCCTCTGAGTCGAAGCAGAAACTCTCGTCGGTTGGGTAGGACTTGTTACCACTGTTTTCTTGATCCTTGTTTCTAAATGTCAATCGCCACGACCAAGAATAGATTAGTAATTCCTAAATAGCACGGGGTGGGAGACAAGGTGTGAGGGTGGCAAATGATGTTGTAGAACCAGAATCATTCACTTCAACAGGTGGTGTACAGTTAATCGTTGGGGTTGCTTCTTCGTCACGGTAGTAAGCTAGCACCGGCGCCGCTGAGTTGGCATCATCCCCTTTCCATGGATCCGCTGTTCGACGGCTCATTGTCCTAGCACTCAGTTCGGATGAGCCGGCAATCCTGCATTGTAGCGAATAGACAGCTGTGCGAAGGCACCTTTTGGAAACACAACCTAGGATGCTCGGAAAAGCGGAGGCCCAAAAAATTCTCCTTATTCATTTGTCAATGCCAGAAGGCACACATCGAAACCATTTCGTCCATCACTCAATGAGCGACGTGATGACCATATTTTCGCCTCGAACTTCCTCTATCAGCCTCAAGAGATGAGAAATTGAGTGTTTTGCACCAGACAAGGGGCGCCACGTCAGTATCCAAATTCTAGTGCAGCTGCATGGGTTCAACAGGAGGTGTACCGTACCACGGTTTGTATCTGCCATTGCAGATACAGTGGTCATATCATATCCTATCATCTCAACCGAGTAAGGTAGGTAAGTGAAGAACAAACCCTGCACCAAAGCGGGGGCGAATGCGGGATTATTCGTCTGCAGCCGTGAAAGATCAGCTGAAAAATGATCGTCTCCTAATAATTGACTTCATCATACCACTTTAAGAAAGGGTAGTTGACCAAGACCGAGCTTCACGGCGCAATGGATGCCAATCGATATCTTTTAGTGACGCGTCTGTTGCCACTAAGTGCAGAAACATCTAGTCGAAACGGGAACATGCGGAGGATGCGAGACACCAATTGCTACCAAAGATAGATATCCTTGTAAACGGGGTTGGGAGACAAAATAATAGAGTGGAGGAAGTCAGGTAGGGTTGCAACCAGATACGGACATCAAGTCTTATTGGAAGCATACCAGCAACCGAACAGGCCAAGAAAAAAAAAAAAGAAAAAGTAAAAAAATACTCTCAGCAGGATTCATTTCATCTTTCAGTAAAAACGGGATATCCAAGTTTTGATACTATAGCAAACCCCCCCCCCCCCCCAAAAAAAAGGGAAAGGGGAGTCTGAACTTATTGGTCACAAATTGTCAATAATATTCACATAGACATGTAGGGGGATGATCTCTGACGAACCATAATGATATTGCAAAGAGAAGGGATTCAATATTTTTTTTTCCATTGCCTCCCCCTCTTAGCTTGGTAGCCAGGTTGCCCCTGGAATTAGAAAAAAAAGTTAACAAATAATAAAAAATAAAACGGGGCACCAGTGTAAGACGGCATGACAGCTGGCAGCAAAGTGACGGATCATGCAGAAGCTTTGACTCGGTAAGGGTGAAAGCATATGGTTCTCGAACGATGGCTTCATACGAAACACAGATGCATAGATGAAGCGGGGATGGTAAATTGAGCACCCAAGGCAGCAATGGCAGTCCAAGCCAAGCTAGGACAGCGAAACAATGATTCGCGATGAGGGATTTTCGGATGCTCGACTTGAGGCAGCATAGATGATTTCGCCACGACAGCAGGGTGCATGCACCCATGAAGCACCGACTGATTACAATCAACCCAAAAAGGGAATGTTGCGGACATCTCGTGTCTCCACTGTTGGGCAAACTTGTTGTAGCCAACCGCAAGAAGCACTCAAGGGAGGTGATGCGAATGTGATGGTAGAATGCTGTGGACGATAAGCCATCACACAGCAAAGGCACTGATCGACAATGAATGGGCATAGTAACAAGAACTGGCTGAACAGTAGCATAGAAGCTGCTCACGAAACATAAATAGGACCAACGATCCTTCATCTCAATGTTATCTGAATCAATCATCGTTTCAAAGTATATCCCCTCAAGAAAATTCATAAGACATAAAGTCTTGACCTTGATATAACGCGTTTCAACATTTTTAAATCTCCATCAAAGTTCAATAGGCTTTGTTTAAGCCTAGCCTATCATATATTCAGAGGGCGGTAGGACCACCGGGTCAAGCCAATAGAATATAAGGCAGAAGGTGAAACATCGAAACTGCACCAAGTACCAGTGAGTTTGATCGTGACCCCGGACAGGCGTTCTCTGACTGGTCTGATAGGCATGTGTTTTTACAACCAGAAGAGATATGCGTGTGGAGATTGGAGTTGGACCAATTTTGCTCACCGCTGCAATTACGAGTACCGTACTGGCGAGACGTGCGGTATGAGACTTGTCAACATGACCGAGTTTGAGACGACGCAATGCCGTCTTTGTGAGAAGATCGAGACCAAGTACCGGCGGCGAAGCGCCGAGATGGAACGGTTGAACCGGTGGAAACGGGAGGGAAGCACTCTTGTGGCCTCCATGGATCGATCACAGAAGCTCATAACGGAGCTTGAGAAGGAGATCCGCCAGCTTCAGAGGGAACGTGATGACCGACGAAAAGCATTGTCTTGAATTGCCGCTTGTTAATATTAGGGGGATTATGGCGCTGGCGAACTGGAGCTGGATTTTTTTTATTTTTTTTTTTTTAGATTCCCTCATTTGCGATTTCTTTTAAATTCAGTCCTAATTTCAGTGTAATAATTTCATGTCTCACAATAATGGGTCATTTTGCTCATGTGGCTCGTTGGCTGTGTCATCATGCTGGGTTGTTTCCATCAAAATGAAAACAGCCCAATCTAATGATTGGAGGAAAAGTTTGGATTTGATGGGGACCTGTTGTTGATTGAATATGAGGCCCAATGAAGTGTTGCGAATTCCGCAAATCTTGCGTCTCGTGTGGTATCCTCAACGACCAGTTCCACTCAATAAGCGCCTATACTCTTGGTGAGCGCTTCGCCGATAAGGATTGGCAAGTTGCCCCGTATATAAGCAATTGCCCTAAATGCAAGAGAAATTGAGCAAAGAAACTGAAGGAGAAAGACAGCCCATATCCCTAAACTACCCAGTATAGACACCACATTCATTAGCGATTAATGTCTGGACATCAATGCCACTGAAACGGGGTGATGTTTGATGGTTTCTAGTATGAATGTGAAGCCCCGCGTCCATTGTATGTACTCACGTGAGTCTAACCACATTCAGTTAGCATGGTGTAATCGGCCCTCTGTCTCGTTTCCGAGTCAGTAATATTGTGAACAGTACTGGTGGAGTGCTTTTATCATCAGTCCTTGTTCCCTTTTCCCTTACGGCTTGAAAGGATTGGTACCCTCTTGTCAATTTTGGTTGTTTTCACTGAGGGTTTCCGATTCATGTTATGGAATAAATTCCAAAAAAACGAAGAGCAGTATACCCGCAAAACCTCATGGCGAACCGAAGCAATGGCACTTGTTGTAAATTATGATGCCTTCTGCAATAATCCTGCCGTAAGAATGCAAGTAGGGGATGGATAGTCTCTGGACACTGCTTATATATGAGGAATTCACGCCCAACGCCCTCCGTACGGAGTACATTTAGCATCATCCAAGCGCCAGATGCAACCGGACCTTCGAAGCTACGTGGACCATTTATCTTGATTCGGATTGCTCTGCAGCAGTTTTGATCGAATTGGCATGAAGAACACGAGAGCAGGCATGAGAGCTCGGGTGTCTGTTGTGCAAATTGACGTCGCCGCCTGCCACGTCACCAGTGAACAACATTAGTTACGCTTCAGATCCGGCGGTAACTACTGGTTAGTACTTCCATGCTCATCCTCTCTGGGTTCAAGGAATGTTTCAGCAACATATGCTTTCACGGACTTATAGTTCGAAGAAGGACAATCTCGGGACTGTGGTAGATTACTGATAGGGAATATTCAAGAAAAACAATATGGGATTATCTTGACCGAGTAACTGAACAAGAAGCATTCTTTCATGATTTATTTAATGTCCCCAGCCTCGGGCTCGTCATCAACTTTAGCCAGCCCATGCTGCTTCAGCAGAGCATTAATTTCGTCAGCATTCCACAGGTGGTGGTAAATTTTCCCTTCCTGAGTCTTTCCCACCGTCGCAAATTCAACTGTGAAAACAAGATTTAGTAAATTTCATTAGACTGCAGTGGCGGGGTAGGGGTCGGATAAGAATTCCATGCACTACCACTTACTCTTCTCACTGCTTAACTTCGTAGAGTCCATAGTCTTGCTCAGGACCTTGACGGCCATAGCACACGCCTCCTTCAAATCACAGTCTTCCTTGTAATCTTGTTTGAGCAGACTCTGGGCACTTGCATTGTTTGCTCCTACGCTAGTGGCCTTCCAACCACCGTAGTTACCACTGGGATTGCTCTGGTACAACTGGAACTCCCGAAGAGGGTCGTAGCCGGCATAGATGAACGAGACACCGAATGGACGGAGACCACCATGTTGGGTGTATCCCTGTTTCAGATCGCACAGTCGACGGACCAGTTGCTCACATGGGATTTCTTCGTCGTAGGTAAGAAGATAACGCTGGGCGGCTTGTCGGGCGTAGTTGATTAGGATGTTTGCATCTGCCGTCATACCTGCCACGGCACAGATCATGTTACTACCCGGAAGATTAGCTTTTGAATACAGCCACGATAAAATGTCTGCAAAAATTATCATCGTACTCATTCAGAGTGTAAAGTTTCTCCGCAGAAGTGTCCTGCTCTAGCAGCTTGCTAGTCACCTTCTTCTCCGCTGCAAGAACGATTCCATCTTTGGCCAGAATTCCTAGAGCCGTGCCGGCGTGCGAAATTGCTTCGAGCGCATATTCAACCTGGTAAAGGCGACCTTCGGGGGAGAAGATGGTAGTCTATCGAACAGCGTCATCGGTTAGCTAGAGCTTCCGGGCTAAGAAGATTACGGAATGAGCGTACCCTGGAATCGTATCGCCGTGACATATCGAATGTGACGTAAAAGCGGACAACTAGAAAGAAAGGAGTCTTTGTAGATGAGCGAAGGTGGAGGGAAAAGAAAGGGAGGTTGTTGATGAGGAATGGTCAAGCTGCGTAGGTTGGGTTGGGGTGAGCTCCAAGTCACAGTCAGTGACCAGGCAACTTGCCCTGCGCGTCCAGCGGCTTGCCATTTGCCAAGCTCGGGCCCACGCCTTTACCTTTGGTTTCTATGCGAAGCTCTTGACTGCCGCAAAATTGCACGCGCTCTCCGCTACAAAAGTAGTTTTACCAATTCGCCTATGTATATAAACATCTGGAAGTTCTTGAGCCAACAATTCATCGAACCCGTATTTTCTGTGCATCGCGATTACAATGCTCAAGTCCACCTATACCCCTCCCCCTCCACTACCACCAGGCTGGACCGAGCATAGAGCTCCTTCGGGTGCGTCACATCGTCATTGTCATGGAATTTCTCTTGTCTGACCGGACACAGGACACTTGTATTATTATAACTCGCAAACAAAACAATCAACCTACACTAGACCTCAGGCGTCTGCGGCTCCACTCCAACCTCAATCGGCCCCGTCTGCGCCCGATACCACTCACAACGCCCCTTATCTTACTCCGGATACTTTACCTCCATTTTCCTCGACGCCTTATGCACCTCAGGGATTTGGGTTCGGCGCATCTATCCAAGCAACACCTCAACATGGTCAACATCGGGGCGGCTTTCGTGGAGGAAGAGGCTATCACGATCGCAGGAATAGAGGGCCAGAAGATAGGCCGAAATCGAAACATGCCCTACCCAGCTGTGCACCGTGGGTACTCGTCAAAACCAAATTGGGAAGGAGATTTGTCCACAACCCTGAAACGAATGAAAGTTTCTGGAAAATTCCACCGGAGGTATTGAAAGGAGTTGTGGAGTACGACCGTATAGAGAGAGAGAAAAAAGAGAGGGCGGAGCGTGGTGAAGACATCGATGACGAGAGTTCCATCCTTGAAAGGGAAACTGAGCTATCTGGCGAACAGCATCATGAGCAGAAAGGAACTACCCCGGCTGTATATGCGGGTGAAGAAAGTGATGAATATGAGGAAGTCGAAGTGACAGATAGCGAAGGCGAAGATGAGGATCATCCTTCCAAACGGCCGAAAACGGAGGGCGACGATGGCCAACAACAACCCTTGGAGTTCACGGAAGAAGATATCGAGTACCAACTCGCCGCTATGGGTGAAGAATATGGCCTTGATCCCGGCGAATATGGAGAACCAGGCGAGGATGGCTGGGAAGAAGGTGCAGAGGGACTGCCACTCACAGAAGAAGACGCAACTGCTCTGTTCCGTGACCTTCTTGATGATTATCATATTAATCCGTATGCAACGTGGGATAAAATCATTGAAGAAGGCCGGATTATAGAGGACTCTCGTTACACCGCGCTTCCGAATATGAGGTCGCGTCGGGAAGTTTGGTCTAATTGGAGCCGCGATCGAATCCAAGTGCTTAAAGAACAGAAAGAGAAACAGGAGAAAAAGGACCCGCGCATCAAATATTTAGCTTTCCTTGAAGCGCACGCTACTCCAAAGCTATATTGGCCGGAATTCAAACGCAAGTATCGCAAGGAGCCCGAAATGAAAGACACACAACTGTCCGATAAGGATCGAGAGAAATTCTATCGCGACTTAATGTCACGGTTAAAACAGCCGGAGAGCACTCGCAAGTCCGAACTCTCCACCTTGCTGAAGTCCGTCCCTCTGCATGATTTAAATCGCTCGTCGAGCCTGGAAGCTCTCCCTCCAACTATCATTACCGACATCAGATATATCTCTCTCCCTGCGAAGGTCCGTGATCCACTCATTGAAACCTACATATCTACTTTGCCTCCGGCGCCGGAGCAGGATGAGCATATGACTGCGGAACAACGAGACGAGGTAGAGCGTAAGAGAATGGAGCGCGAAAGGCGTGAGAAGGCTTTGGCAGAACGGGAGAAACAAGTGCAAGAGGACAAACGCAAGCAGCGGGGTGACCTTGCCCGTGGGAGGAACCTTCTAAGAGAAGGAGAGGCAGAGATTGAAGAAGCCCTGAGGATAGGTAAAGCGGGACTACGAAGCCATATAGAGGGCGAGCAAGACTCTTCAAAGGAAGGGGAAGCCCAGGAAGGGAAGTGATCCATAGGTAGTAATGATCTTGTAATAGTACAAATCCATTCAATTGTTATTGTCTGGCCAACAGCAGCCCGCCGAACCGTCACGGCTATGGGAGCAATTCATTTCCTTCTATATCTCCAGACAAATTATTGGTTCGACTTAGGTCACAGGACAACAAATACTCATACCTAATAGATACAGAAAAGCCAGGACGCCGGCCTTGGAATCCAGTCATGTATGTTGACACATTAGAGAACACTTTTGTGCGACTTCGTATAGCTCATGGGGTATCAATGTAATTATGAAAAGTTCGGGACCTCCCTTTGTAAGAAATGCCACCTTTCCCGTTTTCCCGTTTGATTCATTTCCAGTCTGTTACCTGAATCTCCAATTATCCCAGTCATCATCGTCATCGTCATCGTCATCGTCGTCGTCGTTATTTTCTTCGTCATCCTGGCCCTTTTCATGGTCTTTTGACACTGTGGCAGCAGAAGCCGGATCATCCATCAAATCATCTTCTTTGACCCCTGTGGCCCTCATACTTCTTAGCTCCTCACGTTTGTGTTTCAGCCGTCTAACCCGCTCCTCTAATTGCTCCATCTCGTCGAACTCGTCTTCTAAGAAGCGGGCTGCGTCTTCGCGTTCACCTTCGGCCTCGGCCTCACGGCCACGGGCTATTGTGTCATTTTCTTTCTCTTGTTGTGCTGCCAGCTGCTCAGCGGAAATAGGTGCCGCTGATATCGTCGCCTGTGCGGCAACTGCAGCAGGCGCCTGTGGTGCCCTAGTTGGGGCTGCTACTTCACGCTCAAAAGCAGCCCATTCGTCTTCATCAATAGTCTTAGGATTCTGAGTCATGTTATTCGATGCCGCTGCTGCCTCGGATGGTTGTGCACTAGGTTGGGCGGGAAGCTGTTCGGCTTCTTCTTCTGATAGTGGTTCTGGGCCAGCAGTATCCCGCTCTGAGAGTTCAATGTCTTCGTCTAGGGACTGGGCACTCGGTGGCTGTACAGTACGAATATTTGCTGACTGCGGATCCGCGTTTGCGATCGCGTGTCTCATTTTCTTGCGCGTCAAGTCATCTTCGGGATCTACCTTGCGCTTCTTGGTGACACGGTTTGTTGTTGTGGTTGCTGCTCTTGTGGTCTGATTTGAGCCCTTGCGAGAAGCCAGTTCATTCCGAAGTAACGATCGAACATCCGCCATCGTAATGAAGATAACCCCCCCTTTTTTTTTTATTAATGTTTGGTTTCTTTCTGATTTTTTATTAAAAGAGCCTTCGCTGATTGTAATAAAGTGTTCAAGGATATCGTAGCTGGGTTAAACTAGTGTTAGATGCAGGACGATCAGGAAAATGCGCAATCTATGTGGGGATACGGAGGAGCTTTCAATGAATAAACGCGACGAAGAGGAACCCTGTTTGGCGTCGTACCAAGACCTCCCCGCCGAGCCGCAACCATCTATTCACGTGTCTGCTGACTCAGCCGACGACCGCGACTCCGTCTTCATTCATTCCTCCTCGTCCAACTTCATCTCCTCATCCCCCCATCGCCTCCCTGTCAACTGAACTGTCGCCAAACTCATCAGAAGTCGCTACGCAGTCGCTCGGTTGCCAATTTGGTATCGTCGGCTTGCAGGACATATCTATAAATCTCAGCCAGCATCAAGACAGCGCTCACGCGACCCCGCTCACGCCAAGCATTCACGCTGCGCGAGAAAGAGGAATTCGTCAGAGTCAGAACACCCATACCCGGTGTTAAAATACTGTCGCTACGCGTTGTGTCTTAAATAAATCTTTGTGGAAACAAATTTGAGAAGATAAAGTAATACCTTTGTGGACCGAGCAGCAGTGCCACTGTCCAGCGTCTTCTCTTGTGTATTACTTGAACCCTCTGATGCCGTAGAACGAGATTTGGGTGGCGCTTGTCCTGGGTTACTCTACATCGCACCGTAGAAAGCTTTTGCATCTTATCATTATATACCCCCACCATGACCGGTAAGCTCATAGTAACCACAATCTCGCGGACAGTATGTCAGTCCACATAGGAGTGGAGTGACGGTTGAAAGCAGATCCCCAAACTCAGTCTGGATAGCCAGCTAACAGCGACGTCAGAAGAACCGCGACGATCAGGTCGCTCGACCAAGGGTCAGCACAAGAACCTCGATCTTATCCCTGAGACACCTGCGAAGAAACCCAAGTCGAAAGCGCAGCCGAAGGAAAAACCACCGAAACCCTCCGTCGAACCAACACCTGCCCCCAGTGAAGAAGAAGAGATTATCCGATGTATATGCGGAGAATATGAAGAGGAGGAAGACATCGAACGTGATATGATTTGCTGCGATCGTTGTTCAGCATGGCAACATAATGACTGCATGGGTCTCACATTCGCGAAGGGCGAGGAACCTGACGAGTACTTTTGTGAGATATGCAAGCCTGAAAATCATAAAGTTCTCCTAGATAAGATTGCGCGTGGTGAAAAGCCTTGGGAGGAGGCAGCTGAAAAAAGGCGCAAAGAAGCTGAGGAAAAGAAAGCATCGCGTCGCAGAAAGGGTAAAAAGGGAGGCAGAAGAGGCAGACCCAGTGAGCCCAAACCTGAGCCCAAGCCCGAACCTAAAACCGAGGCGAGCACACCAGCACGTACAGCAGCTTCGTCAACCCCAGCCCCTGCTCCCGCTCCTGCCCCTGCTTCTGCTTCTGCTCCCCCTCCCGCCGCCGTTACTGTTCCTCCAGCGCCTGACGCTGCTCCGACTTCCCCAGCACCACCATCTGTTACACCGGCCACCGAGAAGAATGGTGCCGTTCCCGATGTCCGATCGGCAAGTGCTCAAAAGCGCAAGTTTGATGAGCGCCAGGACGTGTCTACGCCTGAACCTGTAAGTGCTCTGGATGACTCCTTCGAGCAAGGTACTCTGATAACTAATCACCTCGTGTTTCAGACACCGAAATCGAAACAGCAGAAGGTCTCTCCCCCAGCAGATACTGTGATGACTACCGTGGAATCAACCCAAGTAAAGGATGAAGCTAAGGAGCAACCTTCACGCCAGAACTCTACCGCAGAAACGGTGGTGGTTGAGGGCGTAAAGACCGTGGAAGAACTCTCTAATCCTGCTCGGAAAAGTGCGGCCAGTGCTCTGGTCAGGTTATTTGTAGATCAGGTTTCTGAAGCCCGAAGGCGAGGTTCCTTCAGCTTGTCGGATGGGAAGTCAGCGGAGGAGGTCGCACGGCAACTCGCTCTCTCAATCGAGAATGCAATGTATGAGAATTTCTGCGGAGGATCTGGAGAGACCACAGAGCAGTATAAAGCACAATTGCGGACGATCTTGTTTAACGTAAAGAAGAACCCTTCTCTACGGGATCGTCTGCTCGTAGGTAGTTTACTCCCAGATACCCTCTCTAAGATGAGCTCCCAAGACATGGCAAGTGAAGAACTGCAACAGAAGGATGCCGAGATCAAGCGCGAAGCCGAAAGGCAGCATATTATCGTGCAAGAACAAGGGCCAAGGATCAGGCGGACCCATAAAGGCGAGGAACTGGTTGAGGATGATAATCAGAATGTGTCCAGTGAGCCCGTGTTCTCTGCTGCTCCCCGTCGAAGCTTAGTCGATGCAGATGGCAGTCAAAGCCCAGGTCCTCAGCAGTCCGCTGATGGCGATAACGCTCAGAAATCTGGTAACCAGCAAGCATCTGACAGCAAACCTGCCGAGGGCATGTCTCACGATCAGCACTTCCCGCCTAGGGCTCACTCCCCTGGGGGCACTGAGCACGAGCAAGTGTTTCCAGAGGTGGCAACCCATATTCGACAGCCACTACCAACTGGAACGGCTCAGGCCGATGCAGAGATTGATCAGCTTTTGAAGGATGACGAACCAGAGTCGCCGCCCTACTCACCTAAGGATTATCATGATGAAGGAGCTGTTTGGCGCGGCAAGGTCATCATGAACCCCATTGCCGAGTTTTCCTCCTCAGCTAAACATGTTGGGGGTGCCGACCTCAGTGGACGAATCCCCTGGAGTCAGCTCGCGCCTTCGACATTGCTTGTGGACGGCCGAATTGACATCCAACTGGCTAGCGAGTATCTCTGCAACTTGCGTTTCAGTACTTCCACAGACGTGTCAGTCATTTGTATCAGCAAGCCCGAGTTGCCAAAAGAGCAGGCAGGCTTCGACAAGCTCTTCAACTATTTTTCGGATCGCAAGAGATACGGCGTGGTTGGCAAGCATCCGCTAGCAGCCGTCAAAGATACTTACCTTATTCCTATCGAGGCTGGGTCAACTAAGAAACCCGAGTTCATTGAACTCTTAGAGAACAATACTCTGGAGGATCCAACTCCGGAACGGGTTCTTCTCGTCGTTTTTGCCGTGAAGACTTCTGAGTCGAATCCCCCTTCGGTCCAGCCCTCATCGCACCATCCAAGCCAGGAGCCAATGGCTTCTGCGAGTCCAGCAACACCTCAACAACAATTCATGACTCCCGGGCCACGGCCTGTGTCTCAAATCACCCCAGCGCCTTCGAATTTTGACGGAACACCGCTGGCACACTCCCCATATGGTCAGCAACAACACCAATTTCAGCACCAACATCCTCCACATGCCCCCCAATTTGCACCATATCAGAGTCCAGCGCCACAAAATCAGGCCCCAGTCACAGGTCTTGCAGCTGCCGTTCAGGTACTGGGTACTCAGGCTAGCTCCCCAGCTATTCAACAGCTCTTGCAACAGGCGCCGAACGCGGATGTTACCCAACTTAGTGTCGTCCGTGATATCTTGTTGCGACGGCCGGAGACAGCGCTGAACTACGAAATATTGATGCAGGAATTGGTCCAGGCTACAACGAATGGACATAATCTACAGCAGAATGCAAAGTAGATGGCTATAATACGACTGTATAGTAATCATCGGTTATTTTTCTTAGGTTCCTTTTGGACATGGTGTCTGTGTTGTACTGCTGTTACTCTTACTGGGAAGCGGAAAATGGGATATTGGGTGATCATGGGATATCTACGTTTGTTTTCGCAACGGATTTTCAGCACAGCGATGAATACTTCCTTTACTCAATTCATATCCGAGTTTTTGCAAACCAACTCACCGTTGTAGCTTTCTTTGCTTGTCAATGCGGTCCTACATAGTTCCATTCAATTTCCAATTATGAGACTCAGTTCGTGAATCGCGCTTCCATGCCGTTATTATGTAGCACTAGCAGCTTACGGTCCAAGTAAGCAGACCAACTGTATTGCAAAATATGGCCCAGATTTGGATTTTCAAGACAAGTACTTTATCCTATTAACACATATGACAATTCATAACGTCCTGATAGAAAGAATAACGCCTGCGCTATGCGAATCCAGCAAGCAAAAGAAAAGAAGAGTAGTGAATAGTCATCATAATCACCACCGTCCACCACGCTTCTTGTAGCCGCCGCCACCACCATACCGAGGTCCTCTACCACCACCCGCGCGGCCACCCCAGCCACTGTCCTCATCATCGTGATGACGAATTGGCGGCGGTCTGCCCTTGAGCTCCTCGCTGAGTTTCTTATACGTCTTGCGCATGTCCGAGTAACCCATGTGCATTTTACCAAAGAAATGATCCGCCAATCGACGATCATTATCGAGACGACTCAGATACGCGCCGCAAACATCGCATACTTGCAGCTTCTGGTGACCAGACGGGCCAGAGGTATCCTGCAGATTCTTCAACTCGCGCTCACACGTTTCCTTTTGATGTTTGGCTGTGCGAATCTTGTGCAATTCATTGTATGCCTGCGCAACGGAGCCGGTTTCGCCTAGGACGGAAATCTCAAGCAGGCCGCCGTTGATCGATTTGGTATAATCGGAGATTTGTTTGAGCTATTGAAGGTTAGCAACCGGCTTTAGTCCGCTTGGTGGAAAAAGCTATCCTTACAAGATTATTTGTCTGTCGGATTTCGTCCGGGGTCTTTTCCAATCGCCGCTGTGCAGAATCAATTCTCCGGTCACAATCATCAATGTATTTCTGCATGTCTCTCATGTAGTCAAAGTCGAAGCCCCATTTAGACTTCTCCGCAGCCGAAGCTGTCTCATACTCCGTCTTCAGACCTTCACTATGCACCTTAGGGCAAGGGCCAAGATCTTGCTTGGTATTGGTGAAGAGATCATGCGGGCATGTGCCGACGAGATATGAGCGACAGACTTTAGGATCGGTAATAGAAAGCTGAGCGTTGCGGGAGGGAGCACCAGTGCCCATGAGCTGGTCCGCTACGAGAAGATTTCTATTAGCTAGGGTTTGAGCTGCGTATTTTTTGTTAGAGCTAGCTTACCTCCCATGAGCTGCTCGAGCAGCTTTCTCTGTTCCGCCGCCATGATGCAATGACTCCGAAAAGGGGACGTTCGTGCGTAAAGAGTGGGGATCGTGTATATGAGAGCTGTTGCGATGAACGAAAGATGATTATTCGGCGGAGTGGCGCTAAACGCGGTCGCGGCTGCGCTTACTATAAAGGTCATCAACCCCTTTCGGTAAGTCCCCGAGCATTAGTCTAGATGTTCTGCCCCATAGAACGTCAGAGCTATGGCCGAGTGACCTGAAGGAGGATTCCAATTAATCCGATTACCAACAGTTTCTGTCAATCGCGAAACTCGGTGCAAACTATCCTCCTCCCTTAGCGCTGCCCGGTACCACGTCGCGGGGTTCTAGACGCTAAGTCATTCTGTCTCCTTTGCTCCGGAGATCTAACACTCTACAACCCGTGCATGGCTTGATATTGGGTTGGGAGATATTCTTACAACAGTGCTTGGAAACGGCTCCTTGGCAAGCATGACGGAATGATTGTCCTTTCTTTTCTTCCTCTCTTTCTCCTCGTCGCGTGGTCCTCGCTCACCTACGCGACATCGGACTACCATGAGAGCCTCACCCTGCAACCATTGCCGCAGTCATCTTTATTAGCGTCCTTCAATTTCCGAAGCAATGCTTCTCAGGAGTCCTTCGACGAGCGGAATTTTCGTCACTTCCCCCGTGCGCTAGGCCAGATCTTACAGCATGCTCACACCAAGGAGTTACACCTGCGATTCACTACGGGAAGATGGGATGCTGAAAGCTGGGGGTCGCGCCCCTGGAATGGAGTCAAAGAAGGAAACACGGGTGTCGAATTGTGGGCATGGATTGATGCGGCAGATGATCAAGAGTGCGTGCGATGTCGCTTGGAACCCTGCTCCTTGGATGCATATGCTGACGAAGATCAAGAGCGTTTGCGAAATGGATTACCCTGACACAGTCTCTGTCTGGTTTATTCTGCGCATCGCTCAACTTCATTGATTCGACTCGGACTACTCGACCAGTTGCGTCTTTTGCTCTCGCTGGAGACCATTCGGCTTCGAGTAACCTACATCTTTTGCATGGCACACTTCCGGGAGAAGTTGTCTGCACAGAGAACCTTACACCCTTTCTGAAACTTCTACCGTGCAAAGGCAAGGCCGGTGTTGCCAGTCTGCTCGATGGACATAAGTTGTTTGATGCGTCTTGGCAGAGTATGTCGGTTGATGTACGTCCTGTCTGCTCTCGTCCCGATGATTGTCTTGTGCAAATTGAACAAACTGTGGACATCGTGCTTGACCTAGAGAGGTCAAAACGGCCTCGAGGTGAGTCAAATAAACCCCATCATCATCAATTAAGGCTCCTAACAGATGTTAGACAATCCAATTCCGCGACCGGTTCCTAATGATCAGCTTGCCTGCGACACCTCGAAGCCGTATCACTCAGACGATACCTGTTATCCTTTGGAGAAGACCTCCGAAGGCGGTTGGTCTCTAAGTGAAATCTTCGGGCGCACTGTCAGTGGTATTTGTCCCTTAGGAGATAGCCAAAGCTCCGAGGAAACTATCTGCTTGCGCGTACCCCATGAGCGAGGAGTTGCTGTCTCTGAAGGTGCGGTTGAGACTCGTAAGCCGGATGGCTTCACCCGGTGTTACACGCTACAGGACTCTAGCGCATTCGATCTAGTCATGCCGGAACAAGAAGCCACAACCCATGTTCCTCTAGATGAGCCTGTCTTACGTGCGGAACGGACGATCGTTGGCCACGGTGTGGAACGGGGTGGCATGCGGATCATCTTTGATAATCCGTCCGATACGGACGTAGTTGACTTTATGTATTTTGAGACACTCCCGTGGTTCTTGCGCCCGTACGTGCACACGCTACAAGCGACAATCACTGGACGTGATGGGGTCCGTCGACAAGTTCCTACTTCACAGCTCATTAAGGAGACCTTCTACCGCCCAGCGATTGACAGAGAACGCGGCACGCAGCTAGAACTAGCTTTATCAGTTCCGGCTGCCTCCAACGTGACACTTACATATGATTTTGAGAAGGCCATTTTGCGGTACACCGAGTACCCACCGGACGCCAATCGTGGTTTCAACGTTGCCCCGGCGGTGATCAAACTCGGTGGACATGAGAACCCAATCTACATGCGCACAACCAGCCTTCTTTTGCCGCTACCTACGCCAGATTTTAGCATGCCGTACAATGTGATTATCCTTACTAGCACGGTCATCGCTCTGGCGTTCGGAAGCATCTTCAACCTCTTGGTCCGTCGCTTCGTCTCTGCCGAAGAGGCAGCCGCGCTCACATCACAGACATTAAAAGGCCGCCTGGCGGGCAAAGTCGTGGCCATACGGGATCGGATAAAAGGGAAGAGCGCAAAGGTTGAATAGCCTTGTCACATATAGAATCGATTATGCACATACGTTTTATGTTTTTTCACTCTTCTTATAACATCTAACCCATGTATGATTTCATTATAATACAGGATTTCATAATATTACAAAAACTCCAGTAAACAGATTCCTAACCCTATACAGTCTCGATGATCACTCCATCATAACCCATTCAACCAAACCTATAAATCAATCAGCACCCGAACCTCAACACCAAAACCAAAATCTAAAGAGAAAAAATAAAAGGGAAACTGACATATTACCCAACGCACTCTTCGCCTTCTCCCATCCAGGCAAAGTATCCGAACCACCAGGCTTCCGCGTCATAAAACTATGATCCTCAGTCGCGCACGTCCCCTCCTGCTCACCCATTTCTCTATTCCTCCGATCCATAAAATTATGCTCTGCCATACCCTTCTGTTCTCGTAGACTCGAGAACTCGTCTGCGGATGACAGCGATGTCTTGATTTTGTCCTGGTCAGGCCGTTAGTCACATCAATGTATATTGCCATTGGGGTGTGAGTATAGAAGGCATACAGAGATATGGCCTGTTCCTTCTCCGCCGGTACCACCCTTGAGGAATCCAGGGTCACCCCAGCCTCGGCCGCCGCCGACGTTGTTGGCTGGTGTTGGCTCGACGCTGGCGCCACCTCTGGTGCCGCCGGAGGGGTGTTCGTTCATGTGCGTGTTGGCTCCGGACATTTTGTTGATTGGTTTAGATTTGTGGATCTGGGTTGGGAGTCAGTAGTTTAATATAGAAGTATATATATATATAGTTTGGGTGGTGGATGTGTATAGTTCCCGCTTTAGGGTGAAGCTTTGGGTGTTTTGGGACATTACCTATATCGAATGAGTCAATGTTTGTGCTTAATGGTAGATGAGAATCAACAGCTGAGAAAGAACCATCTTTTATACTCGAGTATATGCCACATGGCGTACTGTCCTTGCACAGAGCAATAGAACATAATGACCTCAGTGATATCATCATGACCGCACCTTGGCTTCTTATTGGCCGCCACTGCACTGAGTCAGCAAGATGTCAAAGCTTTATCGAATTAGGTAATTTGGGTATATATTGTAAGTCCATCATTTGCAGAGATTCTGCAGGAAGAATGAGACATCATGATGCATATGTTTTACATTGCTTTAGAAGGATCATAGGGCGGAAAGGGCATCTTTCATTATCCAATGTTGGCAGGAAGTCTCTGTAACAAAGCGTAAACATGGTTTAGAAGCATAGTGAATAACAATAGTTCGGGGAATATTCCGTGAATGCAATAACAATGGTCCCTCCAAAACATGACTAAAGAGAAGTATAGACTCGTGACTGTGGACATCTAATTATTCTCGACTTGCTCCGCCCATGTAGCACCGCTTGCAGATATCGGCGAGAGGACTGCGTCGAGCTTAGCCGCAGAAGAATCGTTGTCGACCGTGCTCTCTTTTTTACTACCGCCAGGCAGGGAAGGGAACTCGGCTTCATTATCGATGACTGGAGCTGGAGCGGGCTTTTGCTCGGTGGAACTTGGTTCGTTCGCTGCGCCTTCAGATGGTGGAATGTCTGATCGTGGTCCACGGCCGCGCCCGCGACCACCTCTACCGCCACGACCCCGGCCTCGAGTGCTGTTCTGGTGGTGATTGTTCGTCTCTTCGTCGGGTTGCGAATCTCCAAAGTCTCGTCTAACGTATCCAGAGACACCACCGTGCATCCCTCGTCGGAATCCACCTCTACCTCCACGAGGGTTATAATCTTCCTCCTGCTTCTGCGAATCCCACTCTCTCCCGCCCAGGGCTTGAAGCTTTCGCTGCCGATTGCGCTCTCGTTCGTTATCCATCACACGACGGTTCTGGCGTTCCTGACGTCGCTTCTCTTCGGCAACCTTCTCTCGTTCAAGGAAGGAGGCCTGGTCGGCTTCAGCACGGGCGTGGGCGGCAGCCTTACGAGCAGCGTTTTCCTTCGCCGCGGCGATACGTTGAGAAAGTTCCTCCTCTGTGAGTTTCGGCTGAAGGAACGGTCAGTAGATGCACTAACACACGATGAGAAAGGATTTCACACGCCTTCTTTATCCCACCTGTAGCACTCCGATCCCCGCGCACAGCTGGCACGCGTGGACCATTAGCCTCAGCGGAGGGTTTGGAGTCCGAAGTCGCATCTTCCTTCTTTGCTTGTTCTGTTGCTTCAGCAGACACAACCTTGGCGGGTTCCTCATGACTCTTCTCGTTCTGGGCGGCATCGTCAGCAGCGGACTTGGCCCTTGAGCCTCCATCACCCCGCCTTGAAGCTGGATTTTGCGACCCTTGTCTGCCACCGCGACCCTTTCCTCTGCCACGTCCTCGCCTTTCGCCCCCGCGCGACCGTGGAGGGGTTTCGGTACGGGGAGGCGGGGTTTCGGTTTCTAACGATAGCGATGCGACGTTCTCTTCCAATGCTTGGACTTCCGGCGGGACCTCTGGCTCCGCGGCTACAGGAACAATTTCATCGTCGAATAGGTCATCACCGCCACGAGTCTGCGCAAATTCGTCCATCGCGGGGGTATCGGCAACGGGGTCGGTCATTTTCAGGATTCAATCGTGAAACGTGGGAGTTGTAAATCGTAATATATCTTACCGATATCGAGCGGATCTGAAGGAATGCTGCACGCACCCCCCGCGGCGCAAACAATTAGGCCAATGAGAGCGATCCGTGTGAGCTCGGGGAGGTAAGAGAGGGATTGATCAGCGATCACTTATTGTTAGCGGGGAATTTAGTTAGTTTGTCACCAGTGAGTACGGGAAATATTGCGTCAACCCAAATGGTCAGTATTGCGCAAATTTTTGCCAGTATGTGCTTTGTATGAAGGGCTATGAAGCCATCGAAGGACCGGAGTTTAGCCTTCTGCCCAGCCACTCTCAGGGTGGAACCTATGATGCGATAGCGCCCCAGTTCCAAGGCGGTCTGCCTGGTGGACCGCTTGGGTTTGTGGAGGCTGGCATTTGGCTTGCCAGGGGCGGCTTTTACTACTATAGATAACAATTATGCTTCTGTATATTTTAAAGGAGCTAATCTTACTGGTGTCGTCTCTTTTTGGTTTTCATATTTTTAATCTCTTTCCCTCCAACATATCTACTTTCTAGACTTGTTTCTTAAGTATTTTTTGTACATTTTTATGTTTCCTTCTTCGTAGACGCATGGTATATCCCGTCTCTGAATCATCTTGTACCACAAGTAGTCTTCTTAATATTCACATACAAGGATATATATATATGTTAGACTTGCCCACCAACCTACACTCACACTGAGCACCAACCTTTCGTACTTCCCCGTTTTTCTGTTGGCTTATCTCCAATCACCATGTTCAATCAAAAATATTTCATGCTCCATTCATACTACAAGCACCTACAGATAGACATCTTGAACTTTCTATTACTAGTGTATTGTGAGGTTTTGCAACATGCAATTCTATATTCTACCTGCTATGATGGACAAATACATAATTATCAAGACATACAAAAATCTTGCCTCTATAAATATATATATATATATGTACAACACTTCAACAATCTAAACGCACTGCCAGGCGTTCTCATCAGTGTAGTTCCCTGGTCCCTTGTATACATTCCTGCGAGGGTAGCGGCAGTGCTTGCGAGTATACTCCACGGCCGAACCTGTGCCATTGCTAAACTTAGCGCCACGGATGGTCTCCGGGGCGATGCCCTCCTCCACCCACTGCACCATAGCCATGAGAACGTTGTTCTCAGGATTGGCATTGTTATAGGTTACGAGCTGGTTTCCAATGCCGTACGCTCCATCACCTCCGCTGCAATGGGCCATTCCACTGATCTGGAAGAAGCGGTAGAACTCGTCCAGTTGTTCCGGACGCATGTTCATGGTTTCCGCGACGCGCGCATAATAAAGCTTGGAGTTCTCCGAGCTGATGAGCTGATCCATGAGCCCATGGTAGGTGAGGACCTTGCCGCCTGCCTTGCGGAAAGCGGAGATGTCTGCGTCCCAGGTCTGGAGGTTGAATGGGTTCTGCTTCAAAGCGACGGCTGCGTCGCGGACTGTGAACTTGGTGCCATCCCAGTTGGGGTTTTCGTAGACAACATAGCGGTACCAGTCCGTGCTATACTTGAAAGGCTGGCCATTGTACATCATGGAAGAAGCCATCACCTCAGAGCCAGGCTGCATGCGGGGATAAAGCAAGGTACCGTTCACTCCGTAAAGCGGGGAGAAAATCTCGCGAACGGTGTGGGCTTGCTTGCCAGTTAGACACTCGGTGGTGTTTTGACCGGGCTTGCAGATGATCGCTTCAAGAACCGGGCTGCAAAGGCTCGGGTCTTCGATAATGCCGTCCTCTGCTCCATCGATGCCATCGCATTGACGCAGGATCTCCTTATGCGTAATGTTCCACAGGTCAGGGGATAGGTATGTGTCTGACCCAACTGGCCCCGTGATTGGGTAGAAGTGGGCACTCCATGACATGAGGTTGATCATATTGAATGCCGGTGCACCGGCCACAACACCGTCGAAGTCATTGGGGTATTGCTGAACGGATTTGAAGCCCTGCCGGCCACCAGTGGAGCAACCAAGGTAGTACGACTTCTTGAACCCTTCCTCGTAGAAGAGCTTTGTCAATTGCTTGCCAACCACGACACCAGTGTGGACTGAACGATGTACAAAGTCTTCGAGGACCTCGGGGTGGTGATAAAAAGGCTCTCCGGATGTTCCGTTATGGCCGCTGTTAGCACCGACCGTGGCAAAGCCTAGGCCGGAGGTGTACGCTAGATCATAGTACTGAATACCTGTAAAACGTTAGTTTTAAAGGTGTGTTAGTGTATCTCGTGGTGCCGGGCAGAACATACAGCCTGAAAGACCTCCGTTGCCCGTACTCAGGAAGCGACCGGTATAATTTCTTGGGAGCCACGCTTCCAAAGTGATTTCGCTGCTGTTCGAGGTTGCGACAGCCATGGCAATGCGGCAGACATCCTCGGACACTACTTGAGAAGCTGTGTTGCAACTGGTTGGATTATCTGGTAAAGAAAGATTGGTGCCTCCAGGCACATAATTGACAAAATTCACCTGCACATTAGGCAGGTTGATTTTGTCTGCAAAACTAGTACACTTGTCTTGGAACGCATCTTGGCTTGCTAGAGCAGCAGAGCCCGCAGTAAGAAAAGGCAGAAGCCGACGAAGTGAAGGCATACTGGCTGGGTGTGGTTGTGGTTCACGGAGACATTTTCCTCTGCTGTGGGCTTGGTGACTTTATATATGTAGCTGGCTCGGACATACCGGAGACTGCTGACAGTACGGAGCACACCGATTGATGTTTCAATCCGTCGGTACCTGAAGATCGGACCATATCCCGTGCTTTATCTAGGGCTTCCCCGAAGTTTGGCCGAAGGAATGTACCATCATTAGCTTAGGAGGACCTACTACTAGTAGGGAATTAGCATGTCAGAAGCTTGGTCGTGACGTGATAAACTTCCCAATCATGACCGACAAGGAAAAGCCGGGATGAGGGAGGGAATTTCCAGCAGCGCTGAGTGGACAGGTCACTGTCATCTTTCAAATTGAGGTCTCCACATCCCAAAGATCGTCGCACGGGGTTCCCCACAAAATGCGGAGAATTATCTTGGTTACCCCGTCACACGCTCTGCAGGACCTTCGCTAACCTGAGAGGCTTGAGTATCGGCAGTTAAACCGCCCTGGGGCCACATGAATACAGTGATCGGGCATTCTTCTCGGCATCGAGGGAACTCGATCCTAAATCCTGGTAGAATCGACTCGACACATTCCTGGCAGTACAAGCAGGGTTAGTGTTACCCCAAAAAAAAGGTTCCCCCCGCAACATGTCCTTGCTTCTTTTAACCCGTCATTGTCCTAGAAACAAATGTTTTGTGGAGGATCGTAGTATGGGGTGGATATTGCGTAAATGTAGAAGGTAAGCAGGCGTGGCCGAGGCTTGGCCGGATCAAACTTACATCGGTCGCTGCCGAACACCGACTGGTTGCCGAAAACTTTTACCGTAGTCCACCGTAGTATAGATTGGGTTTAGTTTTTATTGGCGGTTCGCCTACTTAGTATAATAGAGCGTAGTACTAGAATGTGTGGTGAAAGTTTAATGGATGCGACGAGTGCTTAACATATCATAGAGCTTTTATGAGGTCGTCATTGGACGTGCTTAGATTCTCCTTCAAGAGATCGCTTCGATTAGATGATAACAATAACAACGATGATAATCATTAAGTAATGCAAAGCAAGACCGTGCCACAGGATCGACGCTTGCAGCGGATTGTGGGCTTGCATGGTGCAATCGTTCCTGGAAACTGGCTCAACCTTAAGAACGCAGGAAAGAAAAAGCTTAAATACTTATATGAGCCATGTGGCATACGATAGATATAGTGGGGTTCGCCTTGAATTTGCCAGCATAGCAGTCATATGTAGTAGACGTATTATAATATTCTCGTGGCCATGAATTGGACTAAGAACGGCACAATTAGTTGTAGGATATTAGCTGTGGGTACTGGTACCTACAAGCACCAATAATAAGCATTGCGAAAGCAACTTTCACGTTGTGAGATGCTATGAGACTCAGAAGAAGACCAAAAAAGGTCCACGAGGAGTATGTGCTAAAAAGTGGCCTTAGAGCATGGGAGTCTTTATAACGCGAGGATGTTTCATCGATCATCGCCTGCAAATTGGCTGCAGTTGCGGCTGCTTTGTCAAGTAAAGCTTGTGAAATTTGTACGCTGGCTTGTAGTTTCTCTTGTAACCTTGATTGGGACTCGACAGTTTCAGAGTGCTGCAACTGCGCCTTGTGTAGATTTTCGGCTCTCAACTGAAGCTCTTTCAATGATGTATCGAAAGTTCGCAGACGCTTCTGAGAGTCAGACCATCCCATTTAGTTTGAGGGCGCCACTAACCTCGGATATACTCATTTCTTGCTCAGAAAGGTGCCCGAATCTTCCAGAGAGCCATTCCTGAGACAGTCAATACTTGTTGTTCATTTGGAGTGGGCTCACCTACCAATGAAGAATCGAATGCCTCAAGATTATGAAGTAATCTAGTCATATCATCTTGCAATAATGATTCTAACTTCGATCGAAGGGAGAATGCGAGTTCGTTGTGCGATATAGCATTCTCTCGATGTGCTATTGTAACTTGTTCATTTGCGTACAGCACTTCGTCCAGAAGATCTTGAAAGGTGTATTGCAGCTTGTTAACCTTGGCGGATGCATTCTGAATATTCTATTACTCGTTAGTTATGTGGAAGAGAAGAACACTCCTAATAGCACCTTATCTAGATCTGTTGCCCCAGCTTGTATCCTTCCGAGCACTGAGGTAACGGTATTGACGACCGAAGTGGCCCTAGCTTCAATCTCGTAAAAGGCTTTTTCAATCATAGTCTTGAGGTGCGAGCGAGTTTCTTCCATGTCGTGAACCAGCCTGTCATTCATACTTGCAATCTCACTGACGAAAGCTCTGTGCTGTAAAGATTCAGCAGCAGCTGTCCGCAAGGCTTCTTGAAGGCCCTGATTGAGTTTGTTAGAGCCCTCGACTACTGACCTATGGAGGTTCAATAATTCTTCCTTTTCGTTCTCAACTCTCGCAGCTTGACATATTACGAAAGCGTTCTGCCTACTGTTGCTATAAGAAGTCCACCATTGAGGTCGTGACTCCAGCGATTTGAGACAGGACTCCAACAACTGGACTGAAATACTGTCCACATTATTGACCGGGATTTCACTCTTTAAGGAGAACCCAAAGATCCCTTTCTTTTGTGGGGATGGGAAGGTCACTGGAAGACAGGCATTAGGGATATGGGTTCCGGCACCGTTGAGTTCGCAGATAGCGAGTCTTGCTGCATACAACGATCGAGTATGTTCCAACACTCTATAGGTCTCAGGGTCTATATTATCTGTCTTCTTCCCAATCGACTGGCAGGAGGTGACAAGCCTGGAAGCTGCGATCCGGTTGCAGGAAGGGGACGACCTCATTGACTCTAGCAACTGTACTGCTTCCTTGAACACGATGTCATGCTGTGTATTCCGCGAGTTTATGAAGGAAACCAAGTCTAGTTCCTCAAATGAACTATTATTGCGTACTAAAAGGTCTATGCTTGGCGGCTTGGTTAGTATGATCGATTTCATCCTTTCGCAGATAACGTACCACTTGCTGGATTCTCAGCCCTACAGAAGGTGGAGAAAAGCAAAAGGAATAGGAGGAATAAGCACGTAAGAAATGCTATAGTTGAACGTGGGCCACTCATTCTTTTCATTGATATCAATACGTTATTTTTGGAGTAGTATTGATGCACTAAGTACTAAGAGAAGACGAGTTGGCTAAAAGAGAAGACAGCCCTTTGCTTAACTTTGATGGCTCAGGCGACATATGTGTAAACACTGTAGTAGACTAATGAATGGAGTCATATAGTAATTGATGATGTAGGCGATCAATTGTCCTACGGTAGACAGTGCGTGAGCTTTTGCAGTATAGATGGGCAGGGATGTAGAAAGAAATATAGGTAAAGGGAAGGTATATTATGAGATGAGGTGAACGATAGGACATCTCAAAACAATAACACAGACACGACAGCGACTCATATTTGAAGACTTATCACATTTTGAATCCAGATATCTCTGAAAATAACAGTGGGCTTGAGTCGAGATCCTGATCTATACAAGATCTATGATCACGTGCGTCATATGCGCTAACCAGATTGGGAGTAAAGGGTCTCCGGCCAAAATCAAAGTCGGCATTGGAGAATCAAAGTAGTTGTCTTCTAGCAACAGACCGCAATTGTCATCATGTCGCGTTCCTTAACACAGAACTGCTTCAAGCAGCTTTCCCGGGGCCCTTTGAGGCAGGGTTCACTGCCAATTTATCTCGCACCTGCGTTCTCACACCCTCAACGGGCACAACCATTTTCTACCACTTCACCAACGCAATCTCGAGTCGGCGGCGCCCCGATCTCCGTACCTCCCGAAGTCTCCCTCAAATTCATCGACTTACCTCAGACACAAGTGAGGGGATTAGCGAAGGACATTCCGAAGACGGCAATTGAAGTTAAAGGGCCTTTGGGTATGGCACGCTCACATACCACCTATAGCTGAGGTGAACAGCTTGACTTATGAATCCATCACAGGTGAATTGACACTGAGCATTCCCCCATTCTTGGAAGTTGCACATGATGAAGGCCTTCGGAAGGCGACTCTCTCCGTCCAGGATTCCTCAGTTGCGCATCAGCGTGCTATGTGGGGTACGTATATCACTTCAATTGTCATTCACCTGCGCCTTTCTGACAGTTTTATGCCATAGGAACCACTCGGGCACATTTACAAAACTACATCCTAGGAGTGTCGGAAGGTCACGTTTGCATTCTCAGTCTGGTTGGTGTCGGTTACAGAGCTACTGTCGAATCAACGGCGACCACCGTCGAGCCTGAATACCCCGGCCAGCAGTTCGTCTCCCTCAAGGTTGGATACTCCCACCCGATTGAGTTGGGTGTGCCACAGGGTGTCAAAGCAAGCACTCCCCAGCCGACGCGTATTTTGCTGGAGGGCGTCAATAAGAATGTTGTGACGAAATTCGCTGCTGAAATCAGAGAATGGCGCAAGCCAGAACCATACAAGGGCAAGGGTATCTTCATCAACGGGGAGACTATCAAATTGAAGGCCAAGAAGATTCGGTAGATTTGGTGTCTCTGGTTCTGGGAAGAGGAACAATGGTTATGTTTTACTGTACATGTATATCCAAGCATATTTGGTTTCTGTTCGCGATTGGTATCTATCTTATGTACTTCTAGACGCATCTAGCGTGAGCAATTTGACAAAGTTCGTTGCAAATATTTTCGATCATAACACAAGCTCATTTACAGCTTCAGGACAATCTTCACAGCATCAATCACTTGGTCTTGGAGGGCCTTGGGTGCAGCGACAACTCCCTTGTTGGCAGCCAAGGTCCGGCCCTTGCTGAAATCCAATTGGTGACCGTAGATGTCCGTTACTTGACCGCCAGCTTCACGCACGATGAGATCTCCAGCGGCATGATCCCAGATCTTCTCTTGGTAGTCCTTCTTCACAGGCAGACGTAGGTAGATGTCACCGGCGCCTCTGGCAATAGAGCAGTACTTGGCCTGAGAATCCAGTCGCACGCTTGGGGAGGTGATGCCAAGGCGCTGGGCAACAGCAGCATTATCGCCCTGAGCCGAGTGGGCAGCCTCCACTCCTTCGCAGAAGACGGCCTGCGCAATGTTTGGCACCGGACGCATGGAGATAGACTTGCTCTCGGCGAGAGCGCCGTTCTTCAGAGGCCGGCTGATGGAACCGGCACCCTTAATAGCTGAGAAAAGGACTCCGTTACCAGCACCGCTGTTCTGGTCAACACCGATCGAGGCAGACATCGTATCGGAGTCATTAACAGGCAGGTTGGGGCAGCCAATCGCTCCAACCTTGACGTCGCCATCCTCAATCAAGCCAAGACAGACGGCATACTGGCCACCACGCAGGAATCCCTTCGTACCGTCGATGGGGTCCAAAGCCCAGATGCGACCCTTCGCGCCTCCCGCGCTCTTGCCCTGATCGATAATGTCCAGCATTGCTTCTTCACTTGGCAAGGGTCCTCCAAGGACCTCATCGCTCTCACTGTCATCCAGCTTGATATCCTTAACCAGCCTCCAAATTTCGGCGCTCAGTCCTTTATCCTCACGGAGGGAACTGGCCTCTTCTTCGGCGACGATCTCATCATTTGGGAAGTTCTTGCGGATAGCCTGGATGATCAAAGCCTGGGCACCAAAATCACCGATCGTCACGGGCGACTTGTCATCTTTCGATACGGTGCCCTTGGCCTTTTCGTTAAAGACCTTCTGGGTGAGGAGAGTAGCTCGCTGGACCGCGAGCTCGGCAATGTAGCGTTCCTGTTGGTAAGACATAGTTGTGACTTGGGTATATGAGTGTGTAGGAGTAAGTAAGTGGGGGAAGAAGGAGCTGAGACGGTGGCGGCTTTTTAGGACGATGCTGACACCCAGTAGGAGAGTGGAGCAGAGGACTAGACGGGAGAGTAACCGTCGCGGTTGGCGAATTGAGAGACGGCCTGCCGATTTCGCAGACCGGTGACCCATTGATTAGGGGGCAGAAGTACGTAAGATGCTGCCCAGCAGCAATTGAAGGGGAATCTGGCCCTGTACTAGTCTTGAACCCCGATAGCTGCTGTGTATTGGACCGAGTGGGATGTATCATGTGTAGAAGAAGGTGTCTATCGGCCAAATCGGCAATTACCCCAACTTGTTTCACATTGTTGTTGATACTTCCAGCGCCCCAGGCAACTAGGCATCCCAATGGTCCCCCGCCCTAGACCACATTAGGCCATGGGCGAGGGGCAGTCACGAGATTGGTCATTATCGCACGTCCCATGACGTCGGAGGCAGGAACGAACAATCCTCCTCCTTTTTGTGTGTTTCTGCAGGGCTACAAGGCTATAACTGGCCTCAACTACTGTCGCGCTGAACCCGAGCTGATCGTCAAGTCACCGTGCGTCGGGCTGAATCAGTCGCGCCAAGACGAAGCGATAGCCTCCCCTCTGGGTCTATTTACACGTCACTGTTCAGCTATTACCTACTCGTCTAGCCACGCCAACATAATCGCTAAGAAACTTTCCGCTTCGGGCATTGAGCTTATCGCGGGGGTTATAACCGTGGGATTGTCCAAGGCGAAAGGCGTTTTGCTTTATTAGGCTGCACGTTGTTTTATACGGGCTGGATCTACGGGTCAGGTGGTGATTGACTATCTGAGTCTTCGTCCCTCGTGTGGCTGCTATCGGTCTTGATTGAGTATTTGTTTCTGAGAATAATAAAGCCAATTTTGGGGCCCGCTGTGACTTGAATTCATCATGTTCCATTCGTCGGTAAGTTCGGCCTGTTGGCATGTCTATCTTTAAACAAGCTCTAGTTGGACCATGTCTATTTGGACACATGACATTAACGTTGCGGGACTGACACTTCTTTATAGAAGCCTTATTCGGCCGTATCGGTGCAGATTGAGGTCTTAACTAGTGAACAATATGATGTTGAAGACTCCAGTGGCATCGTTGATCTAATTGAAGCTGTAATGATTCAGGGCAGTGGCCCGACCGAAGCAAGTCGCGCCCTGCGTAAGAAGCTGTCAGTTATGTGCCCAACCAGTCTCGCATAGGCCCCGCTCCTAATTGCCTTCTAGTAAATATGGAAACTTGCACCGCCAACTAAGAGCTCTCACTATACTCGATTTCCTGATCCAAAATGCCGGAGATCGCTTTTTACGGGAATTTGCAGACGAGCCTCTACTGGAACGTTTGCGGATCGCTGCTACGGACCCCATTTCTGATCCTTTAGTCAAAGAAAAATGCAAGCAGCTCTTTGGACAATGGGCAGTATCCTACAAAAACACTCCCGGCATGGAGCGGGTGACAGGCCTCTACAGGCAATTACCGAAACGCAAACAGCCGGCCAATCAGGCCAAAGCGAAGGTTCTCCGCGAGTCTGGCACTTCTGACGAACCTCAAATGGGTCACACCGTATCTATCTCTGCGGGCAATGGCCCGGCTACAGTCCTAAGTGGCCCTAAACACAAGCATACTTCCAGCAAGTCACTCAAGAAGGAAAAGAAAGAGAAGAAAGTTCGAGACAAGAGCTTTAATCTTGAAAAGGAGAAGCCAGAGATCTTACAGACACTCGCCTCTGCATCCGTCGCTAGCACGAATCTCCTAAACGCACTAAAATTGGTCAACCGAGAAACACAACGGGTGAGCGAAGATGCAGAGGTCCTCAACCGGTTTGAAACGTGCAAGCAGCTCAGGCGTCAGGTTCTTCGTTACATCCAACACGTAGAGAGTGAGGAATTCCTGGGCAGTCTCATACATGCCAATGAGGAACTCGTTACCGCCCTTATGGCATTTGAAGTCTTAGACAAAAGCGTGGATTACGATAGCGATAGTGATCAGGATGTCCTAGAGTCTGGCTGGAGTCCTGACCGCGACGACCGTGATCTTCAAGAGTCATTCGCGGGGCTTGTTGTTAACCCCCCAAGGCCACCACGGCCTCCTCGACCGATGAGCATATCAATCCCCTCGTCGTCCAAGCAGCGCGTGTATAACAGTGATAGCGAGTCCGAAACCGAAGAAGACGATGATGAGGACAATCCATTCGGTGATCGCAACGCCATTCGTACCCCAAACAAGGAGATATCCCAACCTACCTGGTGAGCAAAATCGGTCCCTTCTGACTTTTCCTCACTAATGTCTTCAAGGAAAGAGGTTTAGAACCGACACTGCATGACTAAATATCTTTCGTCTTCTTCATCCTTTCTCTTTTTCCTTTTTTTTTCCCTTCCAAATTCTGATTGCAGACCTTTGCATTACATTTAACGGAGTTACGTGCCCGATGATAATGCACTATAGGTTGATCACGATGCGTTCTACTAGCCTGAAGTATAATTTATGACAGCTAGTGGTGATGATGATTATTATTATTATTATTTTTCTTTCTTTCTTTCTTTCTTTCTTTTGTATGCTTTGGCATGTACGACTAAGCATCAAGAATACTACTATACCAATAAAGTATTATTTCTTAAGACAAAACCCTTCATGGCCATAATTGTAGAGTCACTACCATAAAGAGGCAATATATCGGAACGGGAACGGTATTAGCCCGCACTCTGACTTCAAACATACTAAGCACTATGACTAACCGCCAGCCCCCTCACTGAGGTGGTTACCGCCTCAAGGGGCCTATTGATCGTTACCAAACACTCATGTGGAATTGACCACAAGGCCAGTCGGTGAATCCCAACCGAGCACTAGAATGTCTTCAACTCAGGTTACCTCAAGTCTCGCAGCAAATCCCCGAGATGCTCGGGAAACATCATTGTCGGAGCAAACACCGCTCCTTGCGGAACAAGCTCTCAATGCGACCCCAGAATCCCAGGAGCGCCAAGACCATACAGTACAGGAACCCACTACAAAAGAAGTGATCCTAATCTTGGGAAGTGTATGGGTGGGGGTATTCTTGGCTGCTTTAGGTATGCTTTGAACGTCGTACGTGGTCGAGGACGGAAAATAGCTGACTCTATTAGACACGACTGTTGTTGCCACACTAACTGGTCCTATTTCGTCCTCATTCCATTCATTCTCGCTCCTCTCATGGCTGGCAACCGGGTATCTCATTGCTAATGCCGCCTCTCAACCGCTGAGCGGACGGTTAACTGACATTTTCTCTCGACGTACCGGCCTGATATTCTCCAATGTCTTCTTCGCGGTTGGTAACTTGATATGCGGTTTGGCCAAAAGTGAGGGCGTCATTGTGTTAGGCCGTGTTATTGCAGGAATTGGTGGAGGTGGTATCCTTACGATTTCGGTGTTTGTCACCTCCGACTTGGTGCCTCTTAGGAAACGAGGGGTTTGGCAAGGGTTCGGTAACATCTGCTATGGAGCCGGAGGCGGACTGGGCGGCGTATTCGGGGGGTGGATCAATGACACGCTGGGATGGCGATGGGCTTTCCTAATTCAGGTCCCGTTTGTTGTAATCTCAGGCATCCTCGTTGCGGTCAAGTTGGATCTGCCCGTTAAGGAATCGGGAAAGGCCAAATTGAAGCGAGTTGATTTCCTTGGAGCGATCACGCTGGTCATCACACTCGTTCTCTTCCTTCTCGGGCTCAATACAGGTGGAAACCAGCTTCCATGGACACATCCACTGGTTCTCACAGCGTTTCCTCTCTCCGCCATGTTTCTAATGATTTTCGTTTACATTGAAGCGAATATCGCGTCCGAGCCTGTCATTCCCGTTCGGTTGCTTCTCAACCGGACTGTCTTTTCTGCTTGCCTTACGAACTGGTTGGTTGTCATGGCAGTATATGGGCTGATTTTCTACTTGCCACTCTTGTTCCAGGTCCAAGGCTCTTCAGCGACCGGCGCTGGCATAAAATTGATCCCCCAGGCAGTCGGAACGTCGCTAGGCTCGTTGGGGGCTGGGATACTCATGCGTGCAAGTGGGAGGTATAGTCTGTATAGCATGATATCTGTGTCACTCATCATCGTCTCCAACGCCCTCATCTGTACGTTGACCCTCAGTTCTCCTTCTTGGCAGCCTTTCATCTACTTCCTTCTCATGGGAGTTGCATATGGCGCCATTCTAACCATCACGCTCGTGGCGCTTGTTTCCGCCGTGGATCATGAGCACCACGCTGTGGTCACATCGGCGTCCTATGCTTTTCGCAGTACAGGAAGCACAATAGGTATCACCGTCGCTTCTGCGGTATTCCAGAACATTCTGAAGTCCGGACTTTGGTCACGGTTTGGCGACCGGGAAGATGCGAAGAGATTGATCCCACGAATCAGGGACAGTCTTGATGAACTCCAGAAACTCCCCGCCGACTGGAAACCTGGGGTGTTGGCAACATATATGGAGTCCTTACGAGCTGTGTTCCTCACTCTACTTGGACTCACTATCTTAGGGGCAGTGGTCAGTTTGGGTATGCGCGAGCACAAATTGCATACGAACCTGGCACGCGCCGAATCACCAGACGCAGACGCAGACGCAGAATAAGGAGGGGCAGTATGCATGATATTGAGTGGGTCAAATTGGGTATCACTGTATAACCCGAGTATGGAGAGAAAGTACATACTATCTACAACGGAAGAGCTCTGCTTTATAGATGTGACCTCTTTTGATATAAACCTAAAGAAAACCGTGATCACTGCCGCTACTACCTTACGTAGGTACTATCAGTATGTTTCCCTCAAAAGCCACTTCGGTGGTGTCAGAGAGACATCATTTATCCCATACCATTGAATCCCGGGAGCCAATTAGAACCCATTGAGTCAGGGGACGAACCTCAGGCCGGGGTGCAACCCACCGCCTTCCTCCACCAATCAACTTCAATGCCTTGCAAACGAGGCCGCCCGCCGCCAGTAGCCGTACTTCAAGTTCGTCAAATGATCGGATTCCATGACACTGTCAGCTCACTTTCCGGTTCAACCAACTCTCGATTTCCGATTTTTAAGGGAAAGGGACGGATTAGGTAGTGCTCTTTATCTCGCGGAATCTAATCCCCCCACTGACATTAACCCTAGTCCTGCCGAAGCGGAAGCCCAAATCACTTCCTAACTGGTGGCGTCGAGGTCCCATCGGTGCAGAAGGACGTGGCGGCGCCCACTCGAAGGAGCGGAGCTTCAAAAGACAAACCTGACGTTTCGAGATTGAACCAACTATATAACCACACCGCTTTTCGAACTTTTTCCTCTTGATCAGACCACCAATCCTGTAACACGTATCGCACCAAAACCGGACACTTGCATGGATCTCGCGCTACTTTTCGTTGTTGGAGGAGTGGTTGGGCGCAAGTGAAGTGATTTATTCTTGTATTACACGGCGGGTCAACTGGGCGAACCTCTGGTCAACTTTAATGCTCCTTTTTCCTTCCAATCTCCTATCGTCGCATTGACCAAAACGTTGGGTTTTTTTTCCCCCTAAACATCGCCAAACCAGCATATACCTTCACACTTGACGATACGCACCTCCATTCTCACAACCATCGACTCAACCGATCAAAATATCGATACCGGCACTCCCAAAACCTAGTTTTCTCGAGATTTATTTCTGCTATGACAGTTGACCTCCGGGCAAATCGCTCATTCAGTGCTGTCTCAAGTGCTGTCGCAAACGCTCCGTGGCCGACTGAAATGGAGGTTGATGGAAGCGGGGAAGTAGTTGAGAGCAAAGAGCGTTCTACCATTACATCGCACGAACTGCCGAATAATGATGTTGCCTCGCCGGCACGCCGCCGGAAACGCTTGCTGCTGTCTACAGAAAGCGCCTTCGTCGACAATGTGCTCTCGTCCCTTGTTCAACATCCTGACATCGAGTTACGACTGATTACAGACGAACCGTCCGCGCTTCTCTCCGGTGCGAATAAGGTTCCTCACTACATGGACACAGTAGATAGTCAGACTTTTGAGAAGAAAACTGGTGCTCGGAGGTGGCTGAAGGCTAAAGCTGCAGAACTCTGCGAATGGGCGGATATGCTGCTAGTTGCTCCCATAGACGCTGGAACGTTAGGATCGATGCTATATGGCCTGACGAACACATTGACACTTGCACTTCTCCGTGGATGGATATCCTCAAAACCTGTCGTCCTAATACCGGGCATGACTGTATCAGAATGGCATCACCCATTAAATGCTAGGCAGCTTCAGGAGGTAGACCAACATTGGCCTTGGGTTAGTGTGATAACGCCTGTTCTGATGAAATCCAATAACCCCGAGGAGCTCATCCAGCTTCCTTGGGGTGGCTTAGAGGAGCTTCATGAAACCATCGAAACAACCCTAGGCTTGTCTTTTTCTCAGTCTTTAACGGAACCCATTGAGTCGTCCGAAGCTTCGAAAGTTCCTTCGTTGGGAGAGAAAGCATCCCTAAATACGGCTACTACTACTTCACGACACGCCCCTCATCGGTCCGATAAGGGCGCACGATTGTTACCAATGGAACTGTGGTTGAATATTTTCGAGGACCACTTGCATGATTGGGAGATCGCCAAAGCAGTCGGTATCCCAACGAATCTTCCTGTTCCGAAGGAATGGCAAAGTCATCTGCTTAAGATGTCGGCCCCTGCCTCCCTTGAGTACACAATTCTTCGCGGCTCCTTCGCTGCGATCAAGAAACGTATTGACAGCTTGCCACGGTGGAAACCCATCTCCGATCTTGCCTGCCACCTGATCTTCAAATTTTCACGAACCGACATTCTTTCATACCTAACGGAGAACCACCTTGATCTCCTGTGGACAACCTCTCGCCTCACTAACTTACCATATCGTGCGTCGGCCATTTACGGAAACCCCAACATTCTAACTTGGTGGCGTGATGCCCCGGCCCTTCCTACCAAAGAATACATCGCCGATGCAATGGATGGTGCCTCTCGTGCCGGCTTCGTCAATGTCCTCGAATGGTGGCGTACCTCCGGCCTCGAACTCCGGTACACTGAGCGAGCCCTCGAGTCAGCCAGTGCGGAAGGCCGTGTGTCCGTTCTAGACTGGTGGAAGAAAACCTCCGCGAGCGCACCCCTATCGGATCCCATCCCTCTCAAAGTCGGTAAATCTGTCCTCCTAGCAGCACAATCAGGCCGCACAGCTTCCCTCGCCTGGTGGGACGCCTCAGGCATCCCTTACAGCCACGCCGAATCAGTTGCCCGTATCGCCAGCACACACGGCCACGTCCACGTGCTCGACTTCTGGTACCGACTTAAAGGTGCCAAGATGATCTTTGACTCGCAGGTCCTCGTCGGACCGACAAAGAACGGACACGACAACGTCCTTGAGTGGTGGCGACAGAGCGGTCTCCGCGTCGAGTTCAAGACGTGCGATATCGAAGAGGCCCTCGAAGATGCAGACCCCGTGTCCGGTGCCGAAGAAAGGGTTCGGCGGTGGTGGGCTCGCAATGGACTCAACCTTGGCGTGGGAACGAGTGAATGGATGAAAACGAAGGTGTTGTGATTGTACTTCTTAGGCTTCCCCTTTTTTCTCCTTCCGTTTGTATAATGACTTGATCGGCTTCCTATTGTTAGAAATACCCCCTATTTTGTTTTACGGATTACGGAGCATAACTGGTTACGCACTTGATTATATAAGTATAGCCCGCACTTTAAAATGAACTTGTCTATAAGGTTTGGAGTACTTTTACTCTGGCCATATTACCTGCGGAACATACATTAAGTACATGCGTAATGTCTCTGTGATCGTTGTGTTTAGAAATAGAACAGACATGCAGAAAACTTTGTATGTGAGTTCTCTAGGAGAATGCGATCTTTTATGCATGCTACCACAGTTCCATGTTAGAGCCAAATCTTGGTACAGTGACTTAACAGAGATTACCTGGCACGCTTAGAGTATACCACGCTCTTAATTGTACGAGGCTGACTTATGTTAACATGTCTACATATCTTATTACTGAAAAAAAAATATTCAGTGAATTTAGTGTGGAAATGCCGTAGGAAAACCCCGAAGTTTGCTTACTCTCGTAAACAAGATTGAGTCCATAAGGCCAAACAAGGGAATGGAAGTTCATGTTCACTTATGGGTTAGGAGATCAAGTTTTGACAATGTAGCTATTCCAACTATATTGCGATCCACACTTTGGACACATATAGTTTGAGCCAGCAGAAGATTCCAGCATCCACTTAAGCTTACAACTTGGACAGCGGTATTTCGTGACCCCGTTATTACCCGTTGGATGTTGAACAAGGTCGGCTGCGAAGCCCAGAACCTCCTCGAGTACCGTCCGAAAATCTTCATTCTCCAGCAGCTTGTCAAGATGTTCACGGGAAATACTCACAAGAATATCGCGAAGGCCCCTGTCTTCCTTGTGGGTACGTTGGTATGCCTCCGAGATGGCTATAGGATAGTCGTCCATATCCCAGCATGTCCTGGCGATGGTTTCGAACTTGTCCTTGGCCTTCTGCTTGAGCTGTGGAACCCCAAATTTGTCGGCAACTTGATATACGTTGATATTGAATAGCATGGGTGAAACGCGACCAAGGTCGCTACCGCTGCTGTCGTACTCGAATCCGTACATGAAATGGATCATTGCTTCTACGGCGCGCGGATCATCGCTACTGAGTTGAATCTTGTTGTCGACGGATTCCTACGTCTCATATTAGTCCCCGCTTACTGAGCGATGTGTCTGTAGCTCTTACCGTCCAATTCGCCTTGAACAACCGGGAAAAATACGCAGATTGCCCACAGACAATCAGTCGATGGACTTTGAATTCTTGGTCCGCTGTGCATATGGTCAGGTCGGAGAAGTCGGACGAGATGAAGAACCTATGCACTCGTTAAATTGTGGTCACTGAGAGCAAAGAAAAAGACTTACCTCTTGATACTAGCAGATAAATCACCGACCTCTTGATCAAAACCCTCTTTTTGACAAAGGCTGACCTCTTTCTGTTCACTACCCGCTGACCCTGAAGCCATTTCTGCTTGTTGATCGACCGCGTGAGAATCTAACCGAAACCGTTTCTTTTTGAACCCTTTCTTTGGCATGGGATCTGAGATAACCGGGGAAAGGGATCAAAGAACAAAGGGAAGGGAATCTCTCCATCTATGTGAGTGTAAGTGGGCGGCGCAGTCAACATGCGTTCCAGATTGGATCGGATCATGCTTTATGCAGCGAACCCATTCGCTGTAACCACGTCAGCCTTGTGTCTGGGTCCAGATGGCGAATCGCTGGCTATTTTACCCCGCCATGCTTGCAGCTATCTGGGACTGCTATACCTTTATGTTATGGACAAAGGTGTCTCTTGGAGTGATACCCTGTTCATTGGAGTGCCGTAGCGTTTGGTTGTAGTAGTCATGGGGGAGCTTGGAGATTCTATTGGTGGAGGGTATAGGGAATGTCGTCTTTCCGCGTAGTGTAGTAATAGAAGAGAATGATAGGTTCTCGAGGTCTTCTATGGTAGTATGACTCTATTTGATCAACCATGGGTTGTTAAGGTGGTGTGTTTATTGTGATGCTTGCAGTTGGATGGCTGTGGTGCGCTTGGAAGGAATGAGGATTCACCTACCTTTTTGGGAAGACTCAAGAAAGAACAGGGAATTTTTCATGTGGCTTACGGATTAAAACATTACAGAGTAGGTGCAAGAATAGGAGCATTAAAGTGGTGGACAATTGAGGAATGTGTAATTTGAAATATAGTAGGTAGCAAATCCCTAGTAATTAGTAGTAGACAATAGCTTTCATGAGAAGCTCCACTTCGGAGGTACTAGAAACAATCTTAGATCTCTCTCGAAGTTATTTCATCTTCTAAGTATGCAACAGCCCCTGGTAATCTACGTAATGCTCTTAGGAAAGGAGACGAACCTTCGTTAGTTATGTAAGTTCATGATCTAATCGAGGAAAAGGAGTAAATTACATCTCTGGTATTGTGGAGTACCGGCGAGTGCTTTTAAAATTGCACTTCTATATGGTCAGTTGGCCACCTCAGGCCATAGGAGATAGATTAGTATGTGAACTTGTAATCGACGTCGGCTAGTATACGCACCCCATACAAAGATCGGTATTATAATTACATTGAATCGATCAGGAGCAACCCCTGACATGCAGGATTAAGACCAGAAAAAATGACCATAGGAAAGTCCCCGACTTCATCAGGCAGTACTTTTATTACGGAGTCGATACCGATCCCCTTAAACGGAATTTAATTAGGACTAGCTAAGCTCCTCTCGGGAACCCCACAATTTTATAATAAGGACAATGGAGCCAACTAAATAAGCGCCGAGACTAGCTATACTATCGATTCATATCAACCCAAGGACCAAAGGGGAGTAATTGTCGCCAATAAATTGGATATTCTGACATCTCATTTTACAGTGATCCGATACCTCATCTGAATAAGTGATACAAGGATTCAAGGGACTCCCCCCGTCGGACAGGAAATTAATCATTTGAAACAACATGTCTGACGAACGTCTTGACTCGTAATCTGGCCGGGTCTCTTTCGGGAGAACGTTGGGCTTGATTAGCTCCAACACAGCCACTCTAAAATAGATGATCGACACCAGAGAACTGCAGTCTGTAGGACTAGAACAATCACCACAAATGAAACAGAGGGGTTAAATCGCAAACGGAGTGGGGCGGGCGTGGTCTTCTATCGTGGAGATGATGCAGTCGGCAAATGAAGTAGCAGAAAGGAGAGAAGCGAACGTCCCCCCCCCCCCAGTTTGAATCACAGCTGGACCAGACCAAAAGAAGAAAAGGGAAGGGAAAAATGGGAAAGGACGAAAAAGGATCCATGATCACGGACTCCGGTGCAGCGTCACGTGGGGGGAGTCCATCACAGTTACTTTATTAGTTGATTCCTGACGCTTATTATTCCATCTCTTATTTCTTAGCTGCTTCCCCTTCTCCTCTCCTCTTTTATTATCCTTCCCATCATCTTTGTCTTCCTTATAATCCTACGTCCCCTTCCACCGATCCTCCAGTGCCTGTCTCGCCATTACCGTGCGTGCAGTTATACTGTCGTCCGTCTTATTCTATATAACTTGACTAATCACCCTATCAACTCGTTTAAATCGTCACAATGGGTGGAGTTCGTAAGTTTCAGGGAGTATGTGCTTTGTGAACATGACATTGTTATTCTAACTGGAGCGCACAGCATTGAACACCTTCAAACAGATTAAGGAGAGCCTTAAATCTATCTTCAAGAGAAAGAAGAAGGGTGATAAGAACAACGCCCAGGCCGCGGAGCAAAAACCAGAAGATACCATTGCCGCTGGCGCTGGCGCAGCTACCACCGAAGCAACTACCACCCATGAAGCCCCGGCCACAGAATCGCAGGGTATGTCATATCGTATAGACCCTGTTACTCCGTTCCGTGATAGAAGGCTAATGATGCAGATGCAGCTCCTACAGCTACGGGCCCGCCACAATCGACGCCTGGCATCTCTCCGGGTACCTCGATACCAGAGCAAGGGCAACACAATGATCATGAAGTACCTACTCCAACACCATTGCCCCAGATTCCGCCCATAGAGACAACGGAATCTGCCGCTCCTGCAGAGACCCCGGCTGCCCAGCCAACTGCCGGCTTGGCTGTTGGAACGGCTCCTGAGCCCGCCAAACGTGAGTTTGTATAATGCGGCACTAGCCAGACCATGCTGACCATCATATACAGCCGAAGCGAAATAAGCCACTCGTTCTTCAATTCTGTTTCAGTCTTGTTCCGTTTCACCTCTCATACCCCAGCATTATTTGTGTCTTTGGTCCTGTACCCATGTTTGTCGGCCGTGTCACTCGTATAATACCCCCGGTTTCTTCTTCAGATCCTGGTTTCACTGAAAAATGTTTGTAATACAGGCCTTGTGCCGATCATCATTATCCTTCATGGTAGTTCTTGAACCGAACTGCGCCTTCATGGTGACTTAGTGTTAAATGGAATAAGAAAACCATTCATCTCATGTTCAACGCCCGATTCAAACAAGGGTATTGTGACCTATAGCAAAGACCATTGCGAAGCACATCACTGGGATTACATCAATCACTTCCCTGCGATGAAGCATCATCCTCTTCAATAGCGAGTGTATCCTGGCTTTGTCCCGAGGCCGCCGCCGCCGCTTTCATTTCTCTTGCCTTCTGTCTCCGCTTAATCTTCTTCTCCCGGTTCTTGCGATTCCGTTTCTCAGCGTCCGTTTCCTTTGCCCGCTCCGCCACTGCCAGGCGCTTGCGAAGCTGGAGCCGTCGCTTTTTGCCCGGCTTCTTCCGAGACTTAGGGTCTCTGATCTGAGGCCCGGCGATGAACACAGCGGTACTAGTGTCCTCTCGAGGCAGTTTCGTCTGGTGTCTTTTCCAATGAATCACACGCCACGGTAAGTGACATCCAGGCTGAGATATCCGTAATTAGCCTAAGCGTCAACCAATTGCCACTTATAGCGCATCGCACTAAAGATGTAAGAGGGGCAACATACCCAAGGAACCTTCGCCCACTCCCCCATTTGCTCTCCACTAACAGCGACCTCTTCAAATTGCTTCCTCCTCAGTGTAAGCTTCGGATCATCCTCCTTCGACCCAGAAAGCAACCCTGGAGTAGAAAAGTAATAATCCCATCCACGAAACGGCTTCACGAACCCCCCATCATCAGGACCCCTAGCTCCGGGCGTCGGAGATCGTAATCGAATCCGCAACTTCTGCATCCCTGCCGCCCCGACGTCATTCTTCTTTTCCTCTGTAGCAGCGGAGCCTGCATCTTGCGTAGCAGCAGCAGTAGAGTCCCGAACCGGCGCGCTGAAAAGTCGGAACTCGAATTCTTGCTCCTCTTCTTCCTCGTCTTTTACATTAGTGGCTTGGGCATCCGGTTGTTCCGGTTGTTGTTCGGGCTGAATCAAGGAATCAAGGTTCAACAATGCACCTAGTCGCTCATACCCATTGGTAAGGGTATCTTCAGGCTGAGGCGAGGGAGACCGTGATGACGACGGAGACAGAATTTCATTGCGCCGAACGCTGGTCCGATATACTATGTTAGCTGGTAATTCGTTTTGATGAGTATGCGGGGGTTAGGTTTCAGCTCCTTGGGATGAAAGGCAGACTCTGGACGTACCGTTTCGCGTTCGGCAGGTCGAACATCTCGAATATGTATATGTATCAATTAGTCGCAGTCGTTAAAGTGAGGATTTTGTTTCGGGGTATTTGGTGGTAGGCTGGATTCGGTCTTTGGTGAAGGAGTAATGGTCTAGTGTCGTCTAGGTGCTTTTGAGAAAATTGGATGAGATTGGAAAATGGCGGAGGGGTTGTTTCCACGGAGTTTGTGGTGGTGCGGCCACGGCCCGGAGGTTCCACTTCTCTCTACTAAACTAAAGGAACTATATCAATCTACCTATAAAAGCGTGATACTTTCTTTATTTCAGGAATGCTGAGTAGGATTTTGCGTTATTATGTGGTAGGTGTATGCTAGTAGGAGTGATTATGCTAATGCTGCTAGTTTTTTGGACAGCGACGTACTAATGTAGGACATGTTTGTACTACATGGTTGGGTTAAATTGTAGTTTCATTAACGTGCTTGAGAAGTATCTGGATCCTCAATCGTTCCATCGTCGCTTGCACATATAATAATCCTACCAATTCCCTAGAGATGATCACTAGACACAGCGACCGCCGTCGACCTACATGGAAATATTAGTACTGATCAAACAAGATGTTAAGCACCCAGTCCACTTACCTCTAAGTCCACCCCGGTGATAAACTCCGCCTCATCGCTTGCAAGAAAGCTGCAGGCATTGGCAACATCCGCCGGAGTACTAGGACGCCCTAACGGGACCGTAGATACAAACGCCGCCCGGTTTTCCTCCGTATCTGGTTTTCCAAGAAACAGATGTGTCCTGTATTGAACAACCCCATGAGTAACATGTACCTCCGGCGCATGAAAGCACAGCAAAACAGATGATGCTTACATTCCGGTACTCCCAACAACTGGACAAACGCAATTGAATCGGATCTTTTTCGGCCCATACTCAACAGCCATGGTCTTGGTAGCAATACTAACCGCCGCCTTGGAAGCATTATACCAAGTCAAGCCTGGGCGCGGCCGAAGCGCAGCGGTAGAAGAAACCTGAACAAAGCATCCGGGACGGTTATTCTGTTCGAAATACGGTACGATGACGTTGGCCGAGAGGTAGACCGACTTCACATTGACGCTCATGCACAGGTCAAAGTCGGCGTCTGTGACCTGGCCTGTGGGCTTATTGGAATAGGTTGCCCCAGCATTGTTGACTACGATGTCCAGCTGGCCGTATGTGTCCAGGGTTGTCTGGAGTAATGTTTGCCAGGATTCTCGGCTTGTTACGTCTGCGAAGACGAACTTGCTGTTAAGCTCAGCTGCGGCCTTTTCGCCGTTTTCTTTGGATATCTCTGCGACGATGACTTTGGCGCCTTCTTCGACGAACTTCTTTGCGATACCGTGGCCGAAGCCGGAGCCGGAGCCTGTTATGATAGCGACTTTACCTTCTAGACGTCCGGGCATGGTTGTCAGAGGACGTTAGAAAATACTGGGTTATCAAGTAAGTGGTAAGAATGATAATGATTGTTTGGTGATATCAGAAGATGGAAAGACGATGCTGATGTTAATTATTCATCATGGATGAGGGGGGTCAGGTTGTCTATACTGCGGGGTTTGTTGTAGTATCCATTGAATTCCATTGCCCAGGGGATCCTCGCCCATTTGTCCTATGACAGATCCTTGAATGAAGATCCCTTCCTGTGTCTACCAATCATACCCCACACAGGTCGTATTGAACTTAGAGTTAGAAGAGTACTACTAGTATATATTTGTTGAACTAGTACGTAGTTTCGTCTTTATTCAGTGAACCATGGCAGAGGAAATAACACCAATTGATGAAGCCAAGAATGCCAAACTCTTGCTGTCAATGAGATAACTCTCCCTTTTTGAAAAAAAAAGAAAAAATGAATGTGTGGCCCACATGGTTGACAATGCCCGATGCCTAAAGAGTATATTACTCTGCAGTATAAGGTTACAGTGGAATGGAGAGGCAGAAGAAATGAACGGAAAAGGCAAGGCAAATGACATCGGGAACGCACGGACCAACGTTATCGAATCCACCCGACCGGCCAAGGGAACTTCCGCAATCCCATTGATTCAAGTCATTCGCAGTTTCTCCAACAAAGATAAAAATTAATAAATCAAGGAAAATTCTCCGATTACTATTATCCACTTCAGCATCACCGGTTGGTGCCGTCGCTGCACTTCTGACTTCAGCATTCCACTCTTTTATCAACCCTGTTAATCTTCCTCGCGCTTTGCCCGCCGGTCTCAATTGAAAGCCATCGCCCTCCCGTAACCCCCCTCAAGCGCTTCCCGGTCTTGGATGTCTCGTGCCCCTTCGTTTCTCAACCGAGCCCCGTCGATATTGGTATAAATGGGTGTCTGTGCTTCGTGTCTGGGGGTTGGTCGCCGGGACAGTCAGGATGTAAGTCTGAGAAAGACTTGAAGCTTCGAACGATAGATCATGCGATATGGTGGTGGCTGGGCTGGTCGCAACTCCTCTTCATCGCTAACTAATGCGCTTACAGTCTGAGTCTTCCCAACGTCTCCTCGACGATGATATCTATCAGCCTGGCTATGGATATGGCGCGTTAAACAATTCTACCCAAGGCAACCACCCGGATACTGGATACTTGAAGCGTGAACGAGAAGCGCTCGAAGCTATCTGCCAACGGACGTCGGAGTAAGTCGGCTTCTTCCTTGATGGATACAACGCCAGCAGACAGACGGTAACTTGCGCACTATAATACTAACTATACGAAACAATGCAGTTCCGTCATCGATATCTGGTCCCTCCAGCCCCAACCTCATCTACAACCCCGAGCGACTCTCCATGGTCCCGTGTCCCCAGCTTCCTCTCGAGCCGGTACAAAAGACGATGTACCCGTAAGAGTAACCACCACTCCCCCAGCATCAGAGGCCGGATCTTCCGCCCAGAAGCCTGGCTCTCCGAAGCCAGGCGCCGTTCCAAAACACTGGGGTGAGGTGGTCATAAATCCGCGCAAGGGGAAATCGCAGCAGCTCGACGATAATGCCCGCGATGTGTTTGGTGTTCTGAAGGTTACTTAGTTCGGATTTGACAAGGGTCGATATGACGGTTGAATTCTGGGGGATTTTATTCGTTATTTTCGTTCTTCTCTCGCATAGGTCGCCGGTCGATGGTCGATGTCTTCCCCTCTTTCTTCTTGTCATGCACGGCCGCCGTGTCTTTGTTTCTTTCCTTTCTTTTCCATTTCTTCCCTGCCACCCTTCGCCCTAGAGATTCTGTTCTAATACCCTGACTGTATTTTCTGTTTCTTTTGTATGGTCTGTTTCTTTGCTTTGGTTTATGTTTGTTTCTCACTTGCTCTTTACGTTTCGTTTACATACAACAACACATGCACGATCTTTCATTGGTGTGAATATGTGAATTCCCTCTTTTGTTGATTCTTTTGGCTATGAAACCTCCCGTGTCACACTACTACGAAGGTGATAAATAAAATTTCCTATGATAGAGTCATGTTATATTATTTGCTATAAACTCGAAGAAGCATATGGACAGCACAAACAGATATTTCTGAGATGATATGCACAATCCGGGCGCGCAAACGTCTGCAAAAAACAGCCAGAATAGCACAATCGTTGTATTTAAGTAGATTGGGAAAAAGGGGAGATTTCCGGACTGCAGATGGTTCATCGACACCCAGAGTTCAGCGATGCGTTGTTCATCGGTCCAATCTTCGACTCAGTCTTTGCAGTCGCCGTATTCAGTTGCGCCATGAATGTCAGACCCCGACCCTGAAAACGCCATGACCCTGAACCCCATGAAATAGTGAATAGTCGAACAAGAAATGACAATGCCGATGCGAGGTAATCACGCTCACAATGTCAAATGCCGAATTCAGGAATACCCTCACGCAGACATAAATGTGGAAGAGGAGATAGAGAGAGCGGATTCATTTATACGTCGTCCATCGTACCAGCTGGTTCTTCCCCGCCGGATTCGTAGCTGCCCGCGGAACTTAGTTCATCTTCGGATTCTGTGTCTTCTCCAGCATCATCCACGGCCTCTTTGCTAGCATACTTTGCCACATATTCTGTGATTATGAGTACATGACGCATGTCCAATGTTTTCGGTGGATAACTTACCCTTCACCTTGGCCTCGTAACTCTTAGGTTCCCTCATCAGCATTGCGGCAGCTTCACCGTTTAATGGGTCCGATGGGTTTGGATAGCGCAGGAGTTGTGGAAGGAAGACCTCGAAGATGTTGATCATGTCGTACATTGGTGACCATGTTTGGTTGATAACATCCAGGCAAACTGATCCGGAACTAGAAAATAAAGATTAGTGTCTGCCTTTTGAGGAACGTGGAAAGTGTCTTACAGCTCATCGATGTTGGGGTGGAAGATCCGATTTACGAACCCGATACTAGGGCTCTTGTAGGGGTATTGGTCGGGTAACTCGACGTGAATCTTCCAGTGGCCACCGGAGAAAGGTGCTGTGTCGCTGTAAGTAAATGGACATAGGCGCAAGGGTATACATATACCTACTTTCCTCAGGACCCTTGAAGCGGACATAGAATTCTTGCCTGTCAAAGCCCTAATGTAAACAACTAGGCCCTAGAGCTCGATCTCAGGAGAATAGCGGGACATACACTAAATGCAATAGTTAGCCTAGGGAAATCCGGTGGCATAACACAAGAGACGCTTACTATTATCATTGACTAGGGTCACCTCATAGTCACTCATCAACCTAAGAAACCATCAGCACACCAAAATCTATAATCTTTGCCTTCGTCTTCTTTGTGATGTATGTGGTTATTCGTCAGGACTGCGCGGAGGGGAGGTGATAAGAAATAAGATCGGAAGGAACGCGTACATCCTGCTCAAGAGTTAGTTGTGGAACAACAGAAATCATTTGGAAGCATAACAGCATACTTCATGACCTATATTGAAGGGGGAAATGCATATGTTAGCTATCCTTCCTTGCTGAACTGTAACGCCTTATGCGCCCTAAGCGACTCACATCGGTCTCGATTCTCCGCTTTGGGCTACTCATTTTGAAAGGATTACTGGTCGAATTGACGCAATCTAGAAGTTGACGGCCCTGTAAGCGCGTAGCTAAGGTTTCAATATCGAATTGTTCAAGGCTGTCGTGATCGAAATAGTCCGCAAGGTTGACGCGGGGAAGTAAATGAACGAGCGGGGCAGATAGAATGGGAGATGTAGGACTTGGTCGACAGTATAAGTTGAGACCGGCAAGAAAAGGGGGTATGAGGAAGTGGTGATGGAAGAGAAATATATGAGCACGCGGTCAGAGAAAGCACAGACAGAGGGTGTATTTAAGGAGGGGAGACTGAAAGCGCAGAGTGGCAGCGGTACTTGTTAAGTAGTATGAGTGGTTGATCGATGATGGCACCATGAATGCCTGGACCCGCAGGCCGAAAATTGGTCAGTCACTCGCCGCCGGTCATGTGCCACGCCGCCGACCGCCAATGACTCAGCACGTTCTTCTGTACAGCATCGTATGTAGCGTACCTAAGGCACTAAGCATATGCCTGCATCATGTCGCCTGCAGACGATCAGGTAGCAAAGTCATCTGGCGAGTAAATCGGGTAGATTTCGCTATGCGTATAGCCCGAGACCGCGTCAATTAAGGCCAACAGTCAGTCACCCGTAGAAACCTTACTAGGTTTGGGTAAAAGTCCAATTACTATCCAACTCGGAGCACTATCATGATACTAACAGTACCTGTTTGGACTGCAGACTGTATTGGTTGGAAAACCAAACCAAATAGGGCTTATCCATGGTAGGAATGAATAGCGTATACCAAAAAGCACTAGTGGTGGGGAGTGACAGTATTATTGAAGGGAATCCAGCTAATGATCTGCAGGCTGCGAAACAGTCGATGGATCTCTTTTAGGGTTGACTCCGCAGGACATCACCGTTGTCGTGCTTTAATTGGACCAATCCGAGTGATAATTGCCTGAGGCGTCCGACGTCATTTGGGTCCCCATTGAGACAACATCAACATTTATCGCCGTCACCGCTACTGTATCGCCTTCTATTTCACCTTCCCCTTCCGTATTCTACCGTTTTTGACGGAAGGCTCCACTAATCAATTCGACCTGTGGTCCGTCCTTGTCCTTAGCTTTTCATCAAAATGGACCCCTCATCTTCCCAACACCCCTCTCAGGACTCCCCAAGACTGACCCAGAATTTGTCCGCCGGTTCGCGAGCGAGTCTGAGCCATCGACCAGCCAGTCGGAAGCAAAGCTCAGACTCAACATCCAATAATAAGAATGCCCCAATTCCAGATGATGAGCATGGGGCAGATATGCCCCTGACCATGTCCGCTTCGGTCGTGCTAACCAGCCTACCGCGTGATGCCCATCAAGCGCTGGCAGATGCCGAGGCCGTTGATAAGGGGAAAGGTAAGCGTAGCCCAGTTGATAAGCATAACTCTTCTCTTTCTGCAATCAATGATCTTATAATACTTGGGTTTTACCTGTCTTTTTGAAATTTCTATCTACTGCTATACCAAGGCTTTGTAAACGAGTTTAGCCACCTCTAACACTCTTAACAGTTACTGTCCGCTTCCAACCTCTGGCTTCAGCACCCATACTGAAAAACAAGGTTTTCAAGATCAGTGCCTCCCAGAAATTTGAGACTGTTGTCAAGTTCCTCAGAAAGAAGTTAGATTGCAAGGAGACGGACTCTGTTTTCTGTTATATTAATAGCGTCTTTGCGCCGGGGCTGGATGAGGGTGTCGGGGGCTTGTGGAGAGTAAGTATACGATGTTCTTTGTTTTGAATCGTTATTTTATCTTCGATGGCTTTTTCGTTGGCTAACTTGGTTTGTAACAGTGTTTTAAGGTTGATGATCAGTTGATTGTCTCCTACTCCATGACGCCTGCGTTTGGGTGACGAGTTGTAATGGTTCTTGCCAACTCACTGGATTACAGATATATCTAATCCAACAAACACATTTTATGCAAAATAAAGCTGACTGGCATTGAAGCTTTTCGAAAATTGAGCGAGAACATAGAGAACAGCCAGCTGGGTTCTCCCACAACCAAACAATCATGACAATATTGATGAGGTATCACAAAAACCATGCCGGACATGAGAAATGCAAGCTAGGATGCTTCAACATGAGGAACAAATGCAAGAACATAATCCAAAAGTAGACAGAAACGAAGGTAGGATCATGATTTATTGATCCAGCTTGTCAACCTTTTTTTCAAACTCCGCCAGCTCCTCCTTGGGAATGGGATAGGTGTACTCTTCCGAAGGATACGCCCGGGATTTTACTTCCTCCCGATATTGCTGGATACCTTTGAATGCTTCACCCCAGACGTCGGCGTACTTTTTAACAAACTTTGGGAGGAATCGGCCAGGAGGGAAATTGCCGGTCATATCAATCTGAACCAGAACTTGTCCGGAGCAGCCATTGCCGGCACCGATACCAATTGTTGGGACGCGAAGCTTCTTCGTAATAATTGCAGCAATCTCAGCAGGCACAGCCTCTAGAACTATCATGAAGGCACCAGCTTCCTGCACAGCCATGGCATCTTTCAGCAGTTTGAGAGCCCCGGCAGTAGATTTTCCTTGAACTCTGAACCCCCCAAGTGCATTCTGGCGTTGAGGAGTGAGGCCAATGTGACCGACAACGGGGATTCCGGCCTGCGTAATGCGTTTGATTGTCGGCGCCATCTCCGCACCCCCTTCAAGCTTAATACCCTGCATACGTCCCTCCTTGATGATCCGAATAGCCGATTGAAGACCCTGCTCTGGCGACACCTCATACGAACCCATGGGAAGATCGGCGATCTAAATAGCCACACAAAACTGTCAGTCAATAACGAAGCCTTGATGGGAGATCCCAAATCACGAACCGTGAAAGCACTCTTAGCAGCCCGCGCCACACTCCTGCAATGCAGCAGCATCTCTTCCATAACCACTTCACTAGTATCCTCCATACCCAGGGCCACCATAGCCAAGCTGTCCCCAACCAGAATCATCTCCATCCCAGCAGCCTCCGCAACATACCCACTCGGAAAGTCATGGGCAGTAAGCATGGTAATCGGCTCTCCCTTTTTGTGTAGATTCCGTAATGTCTGCAACGTCACCTTCTTCCTGGGATTCGTCGGCGTAGCGCCCATCGGCGAATGAGAACTGTGTCGAACTGAATGAGCACATTGCGACGGGCCACGACTAATCGAACTGTTCACAGCGGCCAAAAAAGGCCTAATCATGGAAGTATGCGTCGATCGAGACACAAGGCTCCTAGAGGCAGACCGCAACGGCAGCATCAATTGAGCTGCAACTCTAGAAGACGCCATGATAGCAAATAATATTTGTACAAGCGGAATCCGGTATGTGTCAATTGAGGACGGAAGACTGACACAAGGGCGAAGGTCCAAGATCGAAACTAATTCACAAAGAGGCAAGGAAAGTAAGGATGGATCCCAAAGGCGGCAAGGCCAATGCCGATTAAGTGTACGAGAGGAAAGAAGACGAATGGCGTCACTACCCGTCAGAAGGGTTACTATAAAAAACAAAGATTTTTGCCTCCACTCTATGTAATATCATGTATGTACTCCTGTTCTGAGAAGTAGCGGTTCAATGATCAATTAGAAACATGAAAAGTCTTCAATGTGAATGTTTACATCCCTCTCCAGCGGTTCCTTTCACCGAGGTCCGCAGTTTATATAAAGAAAGACGTGCTGGTTTATGCAGCGTAGTCCGCAGAATCCCCAGACTTTTGTTCCTTTCTGCCGGATGTTAGGGCTACGGTTAAGTTTTCGCTGGGTCTTTGTCAAGCTCGGTGACGTATTCCCAGTGCCGATTGGCTGGTGCGTGCAGACTCCGTTTATTCTTCCGCCGGACAATCCACTTCTTCCGGACCGAGTTTCACGGTTGGCCGAGGCTGTTCGAAGCGTAGGGTTTGAATGTTTTGTGATCTTTAAACTACAGAACGTACGCAGGTCTCAAGGCATCAACTTGAATAGAATGTAAATTTATTCATGGACCTGAGGTCCGCATAAGTCCAACATTTTTGGTCAGTTCTAGCTTGGTCGAGCACTAAATAGAAGTATTAGGCTATGCCAGCTACCAATACTCACGAGAAAAGAAAACTCCACCCCCAACCCAGGGCATTCGAGCCTTAAGTCATGCAACCCCATGAACACATCCACCCATGAGTTTAATCAACAAACGAACAAAGGAAAAGGGTGTATAGAGAAGAAGGTTCGAAAAATTAATGAACCAAATGCATACCAATGCAATATTTCCTTCCAAGAGAGCATGACGTCTCTCAATGCGATGCATGTACTAAATGGTGAATGCTTTCAAAAAGAAACTCCGTGTCACCTATCTCCACGCCAGTCACTCCTATAGAAACTTTTTTTTTTTTCCGTTTTCTTCTTTTTTTTTCCTTCTTTACCCTTTGTTGTCATGGTTTCCAGAAGGGTCGCTGGCAAGGCCGTTAGCTGTTGTTCGTCATCAAGTCCATAGGACAACAAGGATAATGCAGGTGACAATCCAAGGACGCCGGCCAAGTGATCAATGCAATCGACAATAAGGTACAATAGACAGAAAGTTGCAAGAAAGTGTTGATGGAAAAGGAAACCCAGTACGGGTGTAAAAATGGAGAATGAGTGACGTGAAGCCAATGGCAGCCAATGGCCGTCGCTGGTCGCAAAAGCAAGTGATATGAGGGCAAAATGCATATACACTACTGCTATCGAGACCCGAAATTCCAAGCGCTCAGGTGGCTTCCGCATAACCATCATTATTCAGTGTCACAGAACCAAGATAATAATGCAAGAAGCGGATTAAACGTGGCCGGGAACCCAGCAGGGTTGCTTTGTACGCATACTTTGTTTCGGTTTGTAGAAGCCTAAGCATAGTGCAAAAAAAATGCTAAACGTACTCATATTCATCCTTGAGTGGGCGCTGTAGCTGGAAGAGTAGCGAGTCTAGTTCTGCCCAATTTGCGCTGTTGGTCGCGAACTTGCGGTGTTTTCTTGTCATAACATGCTGCAACAGAAGTTAATACCTCGCTTCCGTTCACCCTTTGTATTAGCGGCTCACCTCTTCGAAATCGTCAAACTTATCCCTGCAATTTTCGCAATAGCCTGGTTTTGGGTCCCTCCTTCTCTCCTTTTTCTTTTGACAGGTGCCTTTTCGTATGCTGTTTCGCCGTTTTCCAGCATCATTGCTCTCCGATTGGGTGGTTTCCTCCTCAATGACGTTCCCAAGCTTCTCAGGCGGGTCTAACGTGCCCTGCCGATTGCCCTGAGTCTTCGTCATCTTCAGCGCCGCCGTAGCATCTGTAGTCCGGTACGACGAAGGGCCCGTGCCAGCAGAGTATCCCCCATTGCTCTTTTCGAGGACTTTTCTCTTTAGCTCATGGACCTCTTTGCTTATGCCAGCTTTTGCACCAGGCGCTGCGGCAGTAGAGGACACCATCTGGGAACGGATAGCAGAAGTGATATTTGATGGTTGCATGCCCGACGCCGCGGGTTCACGACCACCAGTATAAAATCCTCCACCATGATTTAGCTGCGGAGGAACAAAACTTTCAGAGCTTTTCTTCGGGGATAACGGTCGGGTTGGCTGCATCTCCTGCATTTCCGGCTGTTTAGGCTGAGATACAGCCTCCTCATCAACATCTTGAGGGATATACTCTTTTTTAGGTACGCGATCAGTTGCTTTCTCAATAGCATATTTGGTAACATTTGTTCTTTGAACCTGAGCCTCTTGGATAGGGGCAACCTTTGAAGCAGCCTTTTTCTTCTCTTGTTGACGCGCCCGCTGCCTTTCTAGCTCTTTCTTTGTAGGAGGTTCATCGATAAAGGGACATTTCCCCAGCGGAGCACTTCTGAATTGTGGCCAGATACCGTCTTGTCGTCTTACAACTTTCGGATACTCGCGAACCATAACAGGCCTTGTCTTCTCATCCATATCATGAACATAGACAAATGGGCCTTTGAACATGACCAGATCCTTCAATACGGAGAGAGGGTTACGGTCAGAGGATCCGTTAAGCTCATTCTGAAGAACTTGCGAAAGGTCTGCCTCGCCTCTACCCCTAGAATGCCCACCACCGACATGGCTGTTTCGGGTCGAATGGCCACTATTACCACCAATGTCTCCATCATTGATCGTGGCAATCATCCGTTGAAGTTTCTCAATAGCCCATATTTTCATTCCCATCTGGCGAGCCCTATGTAAGACATCCATATTGCTATGCTCACGCCGCGCGTCATTCTTGAGCGACATATGTAGGTGCGCATCAGGGTTTTTCTCGAGTAATGACGGGTTTACCGTCTGCAGGGTGCCATCTCCAGCAACTTGATCGACCGATTCCGTATTGATCTCTGCCGGGCTCGCCACATCGGTTTCTGGAGGGATAGGGCGCGACGTGACAACATGTGTTACTAGACGCGAAAAGAATTTCTCCTCACGCTACGTATTTTTGTTAGCATTATGGAAATAACCGTAGACAGGATGATTGGGTCCAGTGACGGCCTCAGGACATTCCCTCTCATGAGGGTAGTCCAAAGCCTAGCCACTATACCCAGGGAACATCCTAAATCGACTTACAGCTCCCAATGCAAGGACTTGTCGCGAGCATTTGCTGCGCAGATCCTCAGGAATACTATCAAAATAAAAGACAAATTGGGGGAAAGCCTTCCGATAATGCCTCTGCCATTGCCGTATAGAATCAATGGTTTCCGCCGATGGTCTTTCGTGCCGAGTCCCTCTAAGCTGAGATTGTCTTTCTTTATCCCTCACAGCGACCAGTTTTCTCTCAAAAGCACTTGGTTGGGTATTGTTCGTACGACGTGTGAAGAGCTTGGAATCTGCGTTCTGGAAAGTAGCAGGTCTGGTACGGGTTGGTGAACGACTATCGCCTTCTACCCCGTCAATTACCTGCTTCTTGGGTGGTGGCTGGCCGTAAGGGATATCGACTGGTGCATTTGTGGTTCGAGGGCGTTTGGCAGGCACGAGGCCTGCCCTATGGGGGGAGTTAGTAGCATTCGGCACGTTTGCGAGTGGTCGGCGACTCGACATGTTCAGGGAGGTCTGAGGCGAAGGGGGTATAAATACTGCTGCCATATGGTAATAATACACAAAGCAGAGTAAGAGTTGGTTAGCTGTTGGCGAAGACGCCTGCAAAAGAGGGGTACTCCAGGCCGAGCACGCGATGTACTACACGTCTCGAAGGTTAAATCACAAAGACGCCATTGTTCACACGCGATAAGTTGGCAATGAGGTAGGGAGCGTGGTAGTTGAAGGTCAAAGACAAGACGCAGACCTGTTTCCTCTTCGAGGAGGTGATTAACAGGTACGGTCAGGTCAAAGGGACTTGGGAGGGTGGAGTGGAGGTTCGAGGTGAAAAGAGGCTGTAAGTGATGGAAGTGGAAGAAGACTAAGCGTGTCAGGGAAGGTTAGTGGAGCCCGTACGGTACGGGCAGTTTGTTTTGGCTTCCCGGGAAGTGCGCCGGACAACAACCAACACTGGCGTCGCGCGAGGCATGAAAACCTCACCTAAGTACGACCCAGTATTCGCATCTATTCAAATTTCATTTATACAAAACAGAACATTCTCAACGCCTCTTCTTGAAGCGCACTTTCTCGAAGAGTACATTCTTCAGCCTCTTTCAAGCCCGAAATAAATAGATACTATCCTGTCTGATTTTGTCTCATCTAACTCACGATCTGAAGTGGTGATCTCATTCCCTTGTGTTGTTCGGCGTATCACATCGTAATCTTTCGGAGGGGTTTCAAACCTTACTCAGGTGATTACAACACATCATCCTCATTACCTGAAAATTGAGCGGAGTAATCGTGAATGCTCCTTCGTTTTTATATTATTACAGTTTCTCCACATACCACAAAGTAAACCCTTCTCATATTTTATAGTACATTCATATACAGTGGGTATCTATCCAGTGCGCTCCCTACTTTATCCTCGAAGAGCCTCGATATCATCGACCTGCAGCACGCAATGTTAGCTCTTGGTGCATAGGACTGCAATTGTCCGGCAATTCGATCCATAAGGAGGCACAGGCGCAGAAGTTTTGATCTAGATATGGGATCTTACCTCTTTAACTGCCTCAGTGGTTAACACAATAGGACTGTCGTCCCCAACGCACACGCTGTCTTCAATACGGATACCAATGCCGCGGAACTTTTCCGGCCATCGGTCACTGTCCGGGACGTAGATACCGCTTGGTGGTATTAGCTTAAAGACTAAAGAAAAAGTTGCTTGGGCCATGACTTACGGCTCAACTGTAATGCATTGCCCCGCCTTCAAGTTATACCCTCGAGAATAACCGGGGCAATCATGGACGTCCAGTCCTACATAGTGACCCAGATGGTGAGGGAACAAGACGCCCATCGCCTATAAACGTCATTATCGATGTTAGGTGAGACAAAAGTAAAGGGTGGTCTTACATTTCCTGAAACATCAAAACCGAGCTGTTGGAGCTGATCTCGAAGGCCATTCTCTGCGATTGTGTGCAATTTGTCCAAAGAAACGTTTGCACTCTCCCTGCAAAGGGACACACAGGTGCGTTGTACATTTAAAACTGCATTGTATAAGTCGCGCTGAGGGCCGGAGAACTCGCCATTAACGGGCCAAGTCCTCGTGATGTCAGAGACGTAAGTGCCCGTTTCCTATCAAGCGGTAAGTACTAGGAGTAGCAGTCCACAGGAACATTCATGCACGTACTCCACCCCCATCGACTAATACCATATCTCCATCCCTAAATGGTCATATGTTAGCCCAAATTTCGAATGTTAAAAGATGAGAACTCATTCATTACCTCAAAACGTCATCATTCCTCGTGTAATGGATGCTCAAAGCATTCTATGAGGTATCAGACTCTGCCCAGTTTAATCATAATACAACACATACAGAACCGCCCGCAACAACAGGCACAAAGGCGCTCGTATCACAGCCCTTCACTTTGAAATTATATTCCAGGAAGGACGTCAAATCCTTCTCTTTAGTGAATGTTTGTCTCATGGATTCGGTGAAAGCTCTTCCCGAAGCTTGCCCTACTCGGCGCATTTGCACGACTTCATCCTCACTCTTAAATACCCTCATGTCATTCAAGATATGTCGTAAAGGCCTGACCTTACTATGATCCACGACCTTCTTCAGCTGCTCAGATGTGCTGGTAGGCCCGTAAAGATACCGATGCAAGGATGATCTGCCTGGGTTAAAGGCTGGGATGTCTGTATAGATCTCCGTAGCACCAGACAGAATACGAGGGAGTATATCTCCAATGCGTTCTATATCGCCTGTCTACAATCACAAGATTAGTCATGTCCCAAGAGAGAATGGAAAGTAAGGTATGCTTTACCTCATCAGCATTAAAGACATCGATCGCAGCCCGCGTGCCTGACCGGGCTCCGTCCCATAGCTCAGCTTTCGGGTCCTTTTCTCGTACATAGAGATGGAAAATGTGATTATCTCCGGAGCCATCATTTGCTACAGCCATGAGCTCACTGATATTGTCGTATTCGCGGATGAAGTACTCACCGATTATAGCCAGTGCATTAGGCTCGTTAAACCCTGTTCAATGTGAGAGCAATAAGTGCCCATTCTCTCAATGGAATCATACAACGACAACGGACCTGTAAGGTAGAAGAAGTTGGAGTCTTGCCGGTACTCATTGAAGATCCCGGACGCGCGATATGTAACCTCCGCAGCGCTCAACACAGCGATAGCATATTTCGGGAGTCGGTTTGCGAGTCGTGAACGACGATGGGCATACTCGAGCGCAGTGATTCCGGGCGTCACTTATTCCGAGTCAATATATCTCACTTAAATTCCTCGCATATGTCCTAGTATGGCGATAAGATATACACACGTTCACCTGGATTAAGTATATGGGGGTGTGTCTCGTGTAATGGTTGACCGAATTTAAGCTCCGCGGCGGAGATAGAACCGTATGCGCGACGAAGGGTTGGTCGTGTCTGGAACGCCGTACGGTTGAAGCTTGTGATAGATATACGCGACGTGGGACAACGTAGATAACGAGGCCATTGGCGAGTGAGCAATTTGCATGTCGACATGCTTACGGTCGCACCTTGAAAGCAACTGTTTCCTGATAGCCTGGAATTCAGGTTTATCTGGTTCAGGTAAAGTTATCGCCCACCGATCGGTCAGAAGCTCCGACGCCCTTCCGGTGGGTCCCTTGATGCCTTAGGCCTCTATATACTAGACTGTCGGCGTTCTCAGCCAATCATTATTGATCAATTTAACATCCCCTCCCGCATGGACCTCCCCAGTATGGAGACGGTTTGCGATGGTCAATAGCATAGCGACAGCTTATCTCAGACCAGTGCAATGAATACTAAGCACATGGCTTGCATGGTTATAAGTAGACGCCATATCTGGGCGATGGCCCAAATTCTTTTCAAACGCTAGATGGAAGGGAACTTAAAGCACATCTGATATCATTCACGGAGTACGAACTCATTCCTCTAGTTCCTTGGTGTGGCAAGACAAACAGGACGCGTACTCTATTCTGCGATATGGGGCGAACACTGACATATCCCAAGCGGTCTTCCAACACTGTCAACCGCTACAAACACCGAGGTAAGTCTTACATGAACGAAAAATCACGGCTAGGTGCCACTCTAAGACTCTTTTAGCCACTTATGACTTGAAGGCAATCCATACCATCGTCAATTCGAGCCAGGTACTCCATGTGTCTTTTTCCCCTGGGCCATCCGATCCTTTCCCCGCAATTTTGCCCATGATCGGGCAGATGGGCTCATTCGATTACCCGTCGGCCGGCATTGACGAACCCTTGGACTGCTATCTTCATGGATATGTCAGCTCACGGATTATGAATCTGGCTCGGGACTCTGAGGGTGATGGATTGCCCATTTGTGTCGCTGCCAGCAGAGTGGATGGGTTAATCCTCTCCTTAACGCCTAATTCACACAGTTATAACTACCGGTCCGCTGTATTGCACGGATATGCCAAATTAGTGACTGGCGAAGCTGAAAAGCTCTACGCAATGGAATTAATCACCAACTCAGTACTCTCCGATCGCTGGGAGCATTCTCGAGTGCCACCAGACAGTGCAGAAATGTCTTCTACTGTCATCCTCAAGGTCAAAGTCGTCGATGGTAGTGGCAAGATCCGAGACGGTGGTGTTTCGGATGAAAAGAAGGATACAACGAACGATGAGGTCACCAGCCGTGTCTGGACCGGTGTTGTGCCCGTTTGGGAGACATTTGGAGAGCCCGTTCCAAGTCCTGAGAACAAAGTAACAGAAGTGCCTGACTATATCACTCGGTTTGTCGCAGATAAGAATAATCAAAATCGGCGGTATGCACAGGAGGCAGTTCATATGACACTTCCCCTTGAGGAACAGCATTAGTTCTGTTGGCTTAATGGGTCCATTCCTTGCTTTTATTATCAAGTTTATGACTATAAGGACGATTTATGATAGCTAGAAGCGCCGAATTTACTAAATTACAAACTCACTGTCAGTGGCATCTGGAAGCTTACTACGAGTCAGGTAGGTTGGGCGAGCTGTGGTTTACAATAAGTAGAAGAAGAAGAGATTTGGCAAAGTTAATATTGTCTCCTTTCGTTGTACCCCGAAATATAATTACAGCGGAGAATGAGTTGCAATACTTTTTCAAATATTAAAATATTTATGTTAAGACAAAACACCAAATCGAACCATAGTTGCAGTACCGATATACAAGTATGTCAGACCGCTTTTAAATCCTCAACCAATATCAAGGTAGGCTCCAGAATGGAGAACTATTTAGTGTACATACTTAAATACAATTTTCATGAGATCCTATTGGAAATGACCAAAGAAAGATTGAGGTATTTACTGTATTTAGATAAATACAATTTCAAAAGGTCAGAGCTCAGAACCAGCTTACGGTTCAAATGCCACGCACTGCCGACAGAGCCAACGTCATAATTTAAACATCAACATTGCATTAAAATCAATACTCGACTTTCTTTGCCTATCGAACCTGAGTATCCGTGTACATGTTTCTACCTTTTATCTTTACACCTATGAATATCTATTAGTCACTATCTAAGCCTGCAGTTTCTATTACCTTTCTCGTACATCTTTTGCGCGGTACAACAAAACGTCCATCGCAGTCATTATCAACACCCCGCAATGGCTCCGTCAGCCATCCCCGCAGCTGACCTTAGGTCATTTTCAGAGTACCTAAAAGGACGTAAACGTATACTCGCACTTCTGGGAGCTGGCATATCAGCCTCATCGGGGCTTCCTACCTTTCGAGGAGCTGGGGGTTTATGGAGAACCTACGATGCGACTGATTTGGCGACGCCCGAAGCATTCGAAGCCAACCCAGACCTTGTGTGGCAGTTTTATAACTATCGGAGACATATGGCGCTGAAAGCACAGCCGAATCGCGCACATTATGCGTTAGCAGAGCTCGCAAAGAGGAATAAAAACTTCATTACCTTGTCGCAAAACGTCGACGGCAAGTCCTGACCTTCATTACACTACCTATGCTGACTTCTCATGGTCACTAATGAAATATCTGTCTATAGGTCTCTCACAACGAGCAGACCATCCATTATCCCAACTTCACCTTCTCCACGGTTCCCTCTTCACCGTTAAATGCACGTCTTTCTACTGCAGTTACACCCGTGAGAACGACTTCACCGATCCAATAGTTCCTGCCCTCGCGATACCGAAGAATGTTCCAGAGCCCAAGCCATCGACGGGCGATAAGACGGGCGAAAAAGCTTCGAAGTCTATATACAATGCATTAGGGATACCGGAAGGTGAAGAAGTTGATATTTCTGATGACCGAGTTCCGCTAGCTCCGCTGAGCTCTGATGTCCTTCCACATTGCCCAGAGTGCAAAGATGGACTTCTGCGACCAGGGGTGGTATGGTTTGGAGAGAGCTTGCCGTCACAAACCCTCAACATGGTGGATAGCTGGATGAGGTCTGGTCCGATCGATCTGATACTAGTGATTGGTACAAGCTCCAGGGTGTACCCTGCTGCAGGCTATGTTGATAAGGCTAGGGCGAGAGGCGCTAGGGTTGCGGTGGTCAATATGGATCGGAACGATGTAGGATCTTCAGGATTAAAACCAGGTGATTGGTTCTTCCAAGGCGATGCAGGTACCATCGTTCCGGAAATTTTAAAGGAAGTCATTGGGGAGATCTGATTGGCAATATGGGGATTGTCGGTGTGGTCGTCCACTAAACTAATAGACTCAAATGCTCTAATGATAACGTAAATATATAAATATCGGAGCCATGTTTGTTTGCTATAGTCTCCCCAGTTGGTTACACTATATTAGAAAAAGAGGAATGATAGAATAACTAGTGGTCTTTTAGATGTATCTATAACCGTTGAGCTTTCCTCGAGAAACTTTGTAGGAGATTCACTTGCGTTGTCATTGAACCACACGACAAAGAATTAGGCAATGAGGGTATACTCAATACGGCGGCTGGTTGCCGGGGCAAAAGTTCTATCCAAACAAAACTAGCGAGTTTAGCGCTATCGATAAATGTGGCATGTCGGCACTAAACAACATTTGCAGCCTCAACATCAACTTCTCTGGCAACCCCACCCCCACTCGGTGAGCCTTGGAAATAATTATAGCTCCTTTGTTATGGCATGGGCGATTTTCTAAAATCTAATGGCGGTATGTGAATGAAGTCATTCTAATACAAAACCCCACAGTGGGGGGAAATTCTCCGGTGGCCTGAAGAGTCATGCTAACTACTGTGCCATCCCTACGATCAGATCTAGAAATGTTTGAGGAAACCCAGCATCAGTGAAACAGGATACCTTATTTTCTCATCTCACATAATTCGGCATAATATCCTCAGACTATCTCAGCAGCCTACCTACCAAGACGCCTTAGAGGAAACCCCTCCATCAACTATTCAAGATGGCGAAAGAAAGTGAAAACCCGTTGAATCCGATCACCCCAGGGAAGCCGAAAGAACAATCTCACCGTCACATTACCAATCAGCCAGAATTTGGAAAACCATCACCGTTAGGCGGGGGGCGCCCTCAAAACCATCAAACCAATCACCCTTTCAACATCCCTAAACAGAACAGGCCTCGGCCAGAGCACCATAGACCTCAACAGCAGCAACGACCAGGTGTACCCTTCCATGGCTACCGACCCCCTACGACACCAGGTGTTGCAGTCTCAACTCCCAGGCGCGCTGAGCCCTTCGATCCTTTTAAGCCCGTTCGTCCGTCGGCCTACAACAATTCCCGGTTTTCTCGCCCTGTCGATAACGATGTTGTCGCAATCAAACGTCCGGAAAATTTCACCTTTAACACACCACGGGCCCCCAAAACCTTCTTCGCTTCGAAAGCATCCGCGGTTAAGGTGTCAAACGCATCGAAGAACCTGCGGAACTTTGTCGATTTGACTGGCGAGGGCGGCTTCACGCCCAGCTCTCGATCACGCAATGCCGGTTTCGGATCGATGGATGTGAACGGTTATGTTGACACAGCTAAGGCAAACGAAAACATCAAAGCTCTTCTAGAGGGAGCCTTTGAAGACGAAGATGAAAAGCAAGATTCCAAAGCAAAGAATAAGAAGAAAAGGGACAAGAAGAATAAGGGTAAAAGCAAGAAGGCCGAGAAGCAAAATAAGGAGAATAAAGAAAGCTCCGAGATAGATGATCTAGCCGCTCAATTGCAAGGGGTTACTGTTAATGAGTCCAGCGCGGATGCGAGCCGCGCGGAGACCGAGGCCGATCGATCCAGCGAGGATACTGCCGATCGGGAAGAAATTGAAGAACAAACAAGCACTCGGGATGAACACGATATCACCGGAGAACTTGAATCGAAAAACGAAGATGGTGAAGAAGAAGAAGAAGAGGAAGAAGAAGAAGAGGAAGACGAAGATGATGGCACGGTGGAGGGCTTGAAAGTCAAGTTACTGCCCCATCAACGAGAGGGAGTGAGCTGGATGCGGGACAAGGAAATTGGCAACAGCAAGACCAAGGGTGTACTTCCAAAGGGTGGAATACTCGCAGACGACATGGGTCTTGGGAAGACCGTTCAAGCTATAACCCTGATGCTCACAAACCGGAAACCTAAAGACGGGCGCCGGCGCATCAATAATAATTTTGAGGAAGACGATGATAGTGGCATTGACCCCGAAGGCGATGGAGGTAAAGATGATTCGAAGCTATCCCCCGGATTGAGCAAGTCTACTTTGGTTGTTGCTCCATTAGCATTAATCAAACAGTGGGAGTCCGAAATCGCCGACAAGGTCGAGGCTTCCCATAGACTTCGTGTATGTGTTTACCATGGGAATACTAGAACAAAAGCGACAGACAATCTTGAAGATTACGATGTTGTGATTACGACGTATGGCACTCTGACATCTGAGCACGGTGCCATCGACAAGAAAAACAAGAAATCGGGCATCTTCTCCGTCTACTGGTACCGAATCATCTTGGATGAAGCCCACACTATCAAGAACCGGAATGCAAAAGCAACCCAATCTGCTTGCTCTTTAGATGCCGAGTATCGATGGTGCTTGACCGGAACTCCAATGCAAAATAATCTTGATGAGTTGCAAAGTTTGATCAAATTCCTCCGGATCAAACCCTATAACGATCTAGCAGCCTGGAAAGAACAAATCACTAAACCTCTAGCCAATGGGCGCGGGGCTCTTGCGATCGAGCGTTTACAAGTCGTTCTGAAGGCTTTCATGAAGCGGCGCACCAAGGATGTCTTGAAGCTCAATAGCAACCTCAAACCTAACGAAGCAGCTTCCGACGGAGAGCAGAAAAAACCATCTGGCTTCCAAATCGTCAAGCGAGAGGTGATCAAGGTTTCAGCAGAGTTCACACCGGGTGAGCTGAACTTCTACAAGCGCCTCGAGCAGCGAACCGACAATAGCCTTGAAAAGATGATGGGTGGCTCCAAACTTGACTACGCCGGTGCATTGGTACTGTTGTTGCGTCTCCGACAGTCCTGTAACCATCCAGATTTGGTGAAAAGTGACCTTGCTAAAGACAAAGACATTCTCCTGCAGAATGGTACCTCGGGAAGTCAACCTGCAGCCGGGAAACAGGATGATCTAGACAGTATGGCGGATCTCTTCGGTGCTCTCAGTGTTGTCTCGAAGAAATGCGACATCTGCCAAGCTGAGTTAAGCCAGAAAGAGACGAAAGCTGGTGCTAGCAGATGCGGTGAGTGTGAGACAGATCTGAACGTTAATTTCGCCGGTAATCACAACGGCAAGGAAAAGCGTTATCCAGAGCAAGACGTTGTTGACCTTACGGAATCACCCTCCAACCGGCGACCAGAGGTTCAACTTGCACGGTCCCGAAGAAATAGAAAGGTAGTTGTCGATAGCGACGATGAAGAAGACGATGGCGAGTGGCTTGTTCCCGAAAACCAGCGTATGGTACCAGATCTTGGAAAGGCTGGAGGGTCGGATGATGAAGATGCTGAAGGAGGTGGCGATTGGCTCGGCTCAGAAGACTCTGAGACTGATTCGGACGATGAAGGTGGTCCTGAGTCGCCAACACGCAACCGTATGGGTGCCAGAAAACAGGTTAATGAATCAGATGAAGACGACATCTATCTTAATCCTGGCGATGAAGACAATCAAGTGCTTCCTTCAACAAAGATCCGACATCTCATGAAGATTCTTAGGCGAGAGTCTGCAGACCACAAATTCATCGTATTCTCAGTCTTTACGTCAATGCTGGACAAGATTGAACCGTTCCTTCAGCGCGCGGGCATTGGATTTGCACGTTATGATGGTGGCATGCGAAACGACCTCCGAGAGGCTAGTCTGAACAAATTGAGGAACAATAGTGGGACAAGAGTCTTACTTTGTAGTTTGCGAGCTGGCGCACTGGGGCTGAACCTTACCGCGGCCAGTCGGGTGGTTATCTTGGAGCCGTTTTGGAATCCTGTATGTTCTTCACCTAATTCTGACAAACTTCTGCCCACATTTGTGACTGACTATGATTTGTTTAGTTCGTTGAGGAACAAGCTATTGATCGTGTCCATCGGCTAAACCAAACTGTCGATGTCAAAATCTACAAACTTATCATAAAGGATACTGTTGAAGAGAGAATCACTGGCCTTCAAGAGCGCAAGCGCGAGCTCGCTAATGTCACCATCGAGGGCAAGACTGCTGCGGCCAAGCTTACCATGAACGACATGATGGCCCTCTTCGGTCGGGATGCGGAATCACGCTTCACAGGGGAACGTGGCAACATCGACCTTAAACAATCCACACGGTTGTTGACCGCTGCCGATGAAGACAACTATTCAAATCCCCAGTCTTCTGATAGACCGAGGACACAGGCATCACACTCTAGCTCACGCGACCGAAACCGGCAGCCAGAGAAACGGGGAGGATCCAGAGGTGAAGATTCGGTCTTCGGAAGACGGTGGTAAATGGACAGATAGCGTTTTTGGGGGTTCAGGCGCGGGACAAGGTGCGTAAGACAGACGAGGCAATTTCACGGTGGGGAGCAATTGGATAGGGTAGTTGGGTATGACCAACTTATAGTCTTGCTTTAAGGATATCGGGGATTTTATTAGGGCTTTTTTTGGCGCCCAAAGGATTTAAACGTGCTTTCTGGAAATATACCTACTTTGATGGACATTTCATTATTCTCCGTACAGCCAGTCTCCGAATATCATTTGAGGGATTGTTGGCCCCCCGAGTTTTGGCGTTCAGACTTTCGAGCCAAGCCAGCGAATTGAAAACCGATGCAACATTAGCAGGCTGGACAATAACAGAAACCAAATACGCAACCTGAAGAATGAGGAGAAGAAAAGCAAGTGTTCAAAATTATCCGAATGGTCTCTTTAGCTTTTTAAGTGAAGTATCAACTTCTCGTTGCCATACCTACTTAACCGATGTGAGCTGGAGATACACCCTAGGTCTATAAAGACCATCTCAGCCCCAGTCGCTCGACAGGCACCCCGGACCACACGTGGCTCTGTGGAATGGTTCAAGCATATCATGTGCGTCATCGTTCAAGTGTTTGCATCAATCGCCGCTATGTGCCTGCTTGGTACAGTGGCTGAAATTACTCAGTCTGATTCATAACACGACCTCCTCTCATTCGATCAACTTGGTATTGATGTAGCCATCATAGGAGGTGGATCAGCAGGCACAGATGCCGCTATCCGCCTGCGGCAATTGGGCAAGAGTTTCGTTGTCATCGAGAAACAGGATAGACTTGGAGGTCGTTCAAATAGTTACTTTGACACTGCTACTGGAATTCCAATGCCATTACGGTGTAATGAGCTTTCTCAAAAAAAAAAAA